GATGCGATGATAAAAACAAGTTCGCACAGACTCTACATATTTACCGGCTCGGAACCTCGTTAGGCTAATTGCTAGTCTGCTGTGTAAAACCAGCCGAGCAAGAAGCCGTCCAAGTCGAAAAAAGTGCGCGAAGCGTCATATCGGAATTTAATATTCTTACCGTCGTTACCATCGTGAACTCCTTATCGCGTTATCGCAACATTTTCATCGATTATCATTATTATGTAATTTGCAGGTATTACTTCATACGCACTCGGACCTATGATTTCATAGCACACCACTCCTGTGATTTCTGAATGATCGATCCTCCCACTAACTTTCCATTGTTCAAGTCAATCGTGCAAACTATTTACGATAATTACTCAGGTCCCTCAGCCGCATCCGAATACTCGTAACGTACGGTTAACGTACGTAACAGGAGTATTACTCTCGCGGCCAGACACTCATTGCCTGGGAATCATCAACGTTTCCCATACCCAGACCCTGGGTACGCCTGTTTCCCACCATAACGCGCTGTGAATCCAGACCGTCCAGACGTTCCCAAACGACTCGTGAGAGTCGTCCGGCGTCCGACTCAATTCGGAGGATATTCAAACGCGTGCCTACCGTACCCAGACATGTTTTCCTTGGAACTGCAAGAGAGTCCTCTTAATTGTCCCTGACGAAAGAATTACTCCTGGTTTCCTTACAAGGAGAGCAGGCACAAGACTTTTGCACGTAAGACTCGTCGCGGCTCTGCGCGTTGCTCCTGGGACTATCGTGAGAAACGGCCGTCGAGCCAGAACAAAGGAGGCGAATGACAGAGACAATTTCCTCAAGTAATATATTTCCGAGACGAAAAATCAAGGCAAAATAGAATATCGGAACTTGCTGGGTTTCATGATGGAATCAGCTGACGTGTACCCGGCGATCAATCATTTTGTCGATAAAAGTTTGTTCGCTGCTATTAGGATAACAAGCGGGCTGCGGGTCTGGCTTAATGTTATGGTCGATGCTCGGATACGTTGTATCGAAAAAAAATTTTATTTTACTCATTTAATGGTCTCAGGGAAATTTTTAGTTAACGTAATTATAAAAGCGCCTGCTAGTGACGAATATTTGGCGCTTTCAAATGGGCGCACGACGCACGTGGTATTGCTACAGCTATATAAATTTAGCTGTTGAGGGTATAGTGACCATTGGCTTTTCGTATAGGAGTTGTAATTCCAATTTCAATATTTAATCAATAGATATAAATATAGATATGGTTCAACCGGTTCACGGATAAACGAGAAACGTGGGAACGTCGAAAACGCTAATTATTCCGGCACCGCTTTGGGCTGCGTTCGCTGAGCTGTTAAAAGCGTGAGAAAATTGATAAATCGGCGAAACCCCAGCAGCACGTGCTGCACAACTTCACGCGAACGACAAACGCGTGACCGCTGACTGGACTGAATAATGCATAATTCTGCATTGCACCGGACGTTGCGTGCTTTGTGTGGTGAAGCGTTTTGCGAATTTTGTTGGAATAGAAATTACTGTATTATCGATTGCATGGGAAAATTAATGACGGAGATGGAAATTCGTTTGAGAACGAGGAATGAGATTTAATGGGATATTGATTATATTTTTTTATTTCCCCGACAATTGGCAGCATGAGAATCGTAACGTTTAATAATGCTGCGGCAGAGTTTTATCAAGTGTATACCATTGGACAGCCGAAATGGGTAAGGGAACCCACCGAAGATTAGGCACTTTTCTCCTCGTTCACCTTCTCGTCTCCTGATCCAATTTAACCGAATGCGCCACTTGTCTAAGCGAACGGACGCAGCCTTAACCCACTTTCAAGTAGACACCTACTCCTAACCTATAATCTCCTGGCAGTTTACTTATTAATTTAGATTATGTCGTGTAAGAGCTAATTGCTTCAAAAGGGCAGCTCACCTCGCTTCACGCTATTATCGGGTTTGACATCTTCAGTTGCCCGCGGCCATCTTTAGGCCATTCCGCTACGTCCCGGACAACTAAGCCGTTGACCCTTCGGTAGATATGGATTCGAATATTGCTAACGTATTTTCGAGGGACTATCGATTCTCGACTAATTTTTCTTATATTTCATTTAAACTTACTCCTTCGTTTCCACAGAGGTCTTTTTTCTTAGCGATTTACAAATCTAGCTTACCGCTCTACGTTACAAGTATCAATGAGCGACATTTTAAATCGTTCGGCAAGCTTTCGTTTCCTCTATACAGTAGATTTGTGATCATCGACGTTATTTGTTTTGTCCTTACAAAAATCGTTGTGAAATTTGACGATTCCAAATTCTCGCATTTAGGTCAGCCACTGCCGAGTGCTGTTCGCTCGCAGCCACACCCATCGCTCTCATGCTCTCCTAGTAAAGTGATACAGTTTATTGGACTTCTTCAGATTGGAATGTAGCGTCAGTGACACTTATCTCGAAGAAGTGTCCACGAAGTGCCTGACGAAGTGTCTTAAAACGAAAGTGACCTCTTGCTAATTGGATTAGCATAGCATGTCGCGAACTGTGCAGCACGTGCGAGATGTTTACTTCTTCGTCGCGCGTCCACTTAGATTTTAAGAACGAACATTTACCAACTGCATTTTTATACCATTCTAATAGCCCGACTATGCTCAACTAGCAAGTGCCAGGTGAACTTTGTTACTGGAACGACTTACCAAAAATGGATAAAATAGTCGTAACCTGTAATATCGACGTACGATAACCGTGGATAATAAAATTGATTTTCCATTGCATTAAATACATTTTAATCGATGATGCATTTTTCTTGTAAAATATATTAAGCTTTTGTTTTTTCAATTATGACAGTTACCAAATGACATCTCTAATTTTTTATTCTAACGAAAAATATTCAGATTGCTTATTTATATTGATTCTATTTTTGCAATTAATATTTTCGTACTTGCAATATACATCTTTGATAATTTACAACAACACGAGACATCGTGTCTCGTATTGTTTATCCACGTCTCGGATATTCGCCCGAGTTCGACGAGCCGAGACAGCGACGTACCACCTGCATTTTTATACATTTCTGGTAAAGTGACTATGCTCAACTGCCAAGTGTCTGACTGAAATTGTCACGAGTTCAATTATTTTACGCATAGTAGTCTACGGTGGTTTAGTAATTTCAAAATTCAGATTCAAATTTTTATCTTGTTGACAGTCACTTGCAGGAATGCCATAAATCATAGAGCATACAAGTAAGTAGGTACTTGGTTCAGAGCAAGTCTCGTGCTGCGTCTTGTGCCTTCATATTACCCTGTTAGAACTGAAAGTCGTTCGAGACTATCGGCAGTCGATACGCAGCGAGAAACTCGATCGACTTCATTTTCAATTATCCAAGCCGATTCGATAGCTCGAATAACCTTAGCTGGCTCAAAGCCCGAGCACTCTAGTTGGACGAGCGCGGATTTGAACGGTGCTTCGGTTTGTTCTACGAGCAATCATTCTGACTTACGTGCGTCGGGATGTGTCTGCGATTGTACGTAGCGCCAAAACTGGGTCAGATGTACTAAAAAAAATGAAAAAGGTCGAAAAGTCCCTCGTGAGCCCTTCCATTTTCTTCTGATAGCCTGGTAGGCCTGCCAGTTGGGCCCATTTTTTCTCGGGGCTCCTAAAATTATCATTCAGTCTCGACAACGGCCACCGCGGGCCATAAACCTGTTTGACCTGTTACTTTCCTATTACCAGGTGGTATTTAACTCGCCCGTGGCAGCATGGGTGTAGGCGGACCAGCCAACACGAAATACACATCCGGTTTTCGTAGCTGCTGCGATTTCTAGTTGCCTAGTAGAAAAATAGCCATATTATCGATTTTTTCTAATCAAGATCTTCCGACGGTTCAGTACGTCACCTCCAAGACGTCCATGTTGGCCTGGTGGGTGTCTCCAATTAATTTACATATCTGAAGCAAGTTGTAGGTATCATCAGGGTAGAACGCACGGGAAAAGGCTACTGCCGCACAAAGATATCGCATAAACAGTGAAATCGTATGCCAAAAAGTGGTACACATTCAAAAAGCAAAATTCATATTCTTATTTCTGAAAATAAAGTAAACACGACTTTCAGCTAAAAGATTTTTTTCTATAAAATTCAATAATTAATATTTTCAAGAGCTTCTTCCTTACCGATCACTCGTGAAATAAATAAATGACCAACAGTAACGATGAATTTCATCAGGCAAGCGTTATAAGATTGTTTACTATCACGAGGAAAATAATTTCAAAATATTCATCTGCATCGTGAACCATTGCTATCAAGAACATTGTGCAACCTGCACGAAGGGCAGACCAGTCCCTAAACTCCTCCGTATATCTCATGCTAGCCTGCTCAGAAAACCAACCAAATTTAGACCCTACAAAGGGAAAGGGCTCTTATGCAAGGCACCGTCACTGACATGGAGTCGGTAAGTGAGTCTTTGGGCTTCAAGTTGTTCTAATATTCAGTACAGAACTGGACTGACCGGTGGTCAGTCTAGGCAAAGATACCAGACACAGTTGACCATCTGCTTCTCATGCTTGCCTGGTCACTGGTCAAACCAAAATATCCGTCGAACAAAGAACCAACAAAAATTGCAACTTCTCCTGTATTCAATACTTTTGTCATGCGAAGTCAGCGTTATTATATATAAACCTTGACCTTATATCTCAAATGGACAGAATCATGATTTTTATGTACGTCGTTTATGTACATGATATTATTCTTACGTTTACACGAAGTTTGTCTAACTAACAAGAATTTTACGTTAAAACGTATTCGTGCAGGTAGCAATGGTTTCAAATAACGTTAGAAAGAATCAGAGAGCACACTCTTACTATAATCTCCTAATACACTAGTAAATAAAATATTAGATTCGTGAATAGAAGTTACTTCTTCCAATGTCGCGTATAAGCGATATGCCTAGTTGAGTTTCATGTTTATTGTGCGTGCGATTGAGGTATTGGGATTTCTTTTAATTGTCGATATATTTTGTTCGCAGGTCACCAATTGACAGTTTTCAATAGTCAATCGACTATACAGGTCGGAGGTCGTTGGAATCGCAGTAAAGGAAGAGTGGAGAGACCGTTTTTGGGTGTAATCTCAGGATTGGTCGTTAATGGAATTAAGATTTTGGAATTGACAGCGGAAAAGGATGGGAAGATTATGACCAGAGGAGACGTACAGCTACTACCAATTGGCAGTGTGCTGGACAGAGCGGCGCCATTGCAAAGGATGCAACAGGTACCCGTTACGTGAATCGATAATGCCGAATTAAAAATTAAAATGTTGCCATGGTTATATCTTTGCGAATTTACGTACTCGACAGACACCAGCCTCAGGATTTCCGGGCGTGATGGACGATTTAATATTCTCCGGAGCCGGAAGTGGCTGTTCTGGGGATGACGAAGACGAGGAGTGCACACCTATTTATGAGTCTGGTTCCGGTAAGTGTAAGTAACGTTTCGAAAGGCGTAAGCAATTCCATCTGTACCCATCCTCCCGGAGGAATTTCAAATTTTCAACCACCATCAATCCTCTTTATCCCCCTTTAGTGCAGTGCGCGTAATACCAATTTTCATCTAGACGTAGTTATTAGCACTGCTCCTTAAGCGAGCAAACCGTAGTTCCAAGTGTATCCGCTAGAGGGCAGTGTAGCTCTTCGCACGGAGTTTAACAATACATTGAAGTTTCCTACAAAAATTAGACTACAAATCGGAACGAAGATCATGTAGAAATTAGAGAAATCTTTTTCGTTATTATCTTATCTACTGCCAGTCTGTTCTTTGTATTACCTTTCGAGTTATAATTCAGAAACCAGTTTCTCGCAAGTGGTGCTCACCGAGCACAGTTGGTATATAAGACCGTGAGGCGCTAAGAATCTCTGTGTAGTATGAAAGGAGAGACGTTTAGCACTCCCCTAGACAAGGATGGAACACACATAAAATGGTAAGGCACTGTCGCCTTTGGCGGCACTTACCACATTTTTTTTTAATAACTTTTTTAATCTCTCCAATCAATAAGGCATCGTGAATTGATCGCGGCACGTTCTAACGTGCTAACACAGCACTAATAAGGGACAATTGTTGGATCATAAATGATCTCCGGTCTTCGTGTAGCGTTCAATATTTTTATCGATCGACACAGTGGGGCTGCAATCAGCCAATGACAACGATACGTAGCGAAAGAAGTATTTCAAGATTATTTTTCACCCAGTAGATTAGGTGGACGCACGTGCACCGCAGGGCTACGGACCGCCACACGTGTTAGGCTCGCGTGGTTTCACGTATCGCTTGGCATGCCACTTTTCCATCTTCATGTTTGCCTGGTTGTATCTTCAATTCATTTGCATATTTAGGATCCTCGGCCGAAGATAAACTTCCGTCCCCCTCCTTTCTCTTTGGCTCATACCTTCTCGGCCAATATGGACTCCCGATTTAAAATCTTCTCCAACTGACTAAAAACTGAATTAATGATCCCGATATCGCCATTTACAGTAAATAACAGTCCTTTGCGTATAGTCATTGTATAAAGTAAAATTAGCCCATCGTATTAATCGCGCTCAACTGACAAAATCGATAATTGACGATTGGACGCCTAAAATGAAAATCAAAAAGATTATAAAAAAGAAGAGATATTTAAAAAAAAGAGACCATGGTACATCCACGACTAAGCCTCAAGGCAGAGCTTATTATTGACTCGTGACGTAATCTCTAAGAGGAGCGATCGACCTTTAAAATATTCAATGGCTGGCAAGCTTCAAAGGCTCTCTTCGTAAACAATCAATTATCTTGGATGACGTCAAAGGCATCCTAACTACGTGCCACTTTCCTCTCGACAATTCAATAACCAGAAGCTTCCTTTTGTATCCATAGACGATCTGATAACTCCGGTCTACGTTGCTCCCACGAGGTCGCCGGTTACTCCCAAGCCAAAAAGTGACAAGGAGAATGTTCCAGAAAGTTCTTCCTGCGACGACGAGGAAGACTGCGAGGAGGGATCCGGCGATCCGAGCACCACGGAAGATATTTTCGTGACATCGACTACTGGTAAGAGCTGGAAATTTACATAAATTTTTGCCATACGTGTCCTACGCCACTGGTATTGATCCTCTCGCACCCTTTCCGTCCTGTACTTTCCAGTATTCACCTCCTGAATGGCTCGAGTACTTCCAAAACATTGACGATTCGAGCATATACGGATTTCATGCTGCTTTTGCGTTCGGCCTAGAATGAATGGAGATTCGATTTCTCAATGTCGTGGGACGATAAAGGAAGACCCTTATGGATGTGGTTGCGGTTCTCACGTGTTGAACAAGTGAATTTCGACAGGGCGAAGATTATTTCTATACGAATTTAATTCGGACGAAATTGGGTTACACAAACGGAAATAGATAGAAAGATTCTTACTGATTTATTATATTTTACGGGTTGCGTGGGGATACGGATAAATCTATTCTGGCAATTGATCTTTCTAATACGGAAATACTTGTTCCGATTTTCCTCTGTCTGAATTTCCCTCTGTTTCTCCCGTGCCCTCTCCGCCAATCCCCAATGTCCAATGGCTGACTTTACCGCCACGAAAACAACCCTCGCGTGTCTCGCAGGGGTCGGTTCAACCTGGTTCTTAATAAGTGCTGAACCGCGCTTCTGCGTGCACATTTCAAGAAAGTCCCTACCGCTAAATCACCAAAACGTTCACGTCGGCAATATTTACTTCCTACGTACAAAATTATTTGACAAATCAATTTATTCTCATAAATCCGTAGTGTTCGATGTACGGCATACATGAGTAAAAAAATTAGGAAAAAAGTGTCAAGAATGTTCGATTTTAAAAATTGTCAGAAATTACTTTTTTAACGGTTCGTGTAAATATTGACGAAAAAAAAAAAAATAAAAAAACATACCAAATACTAGGCCATCGATTAATCTGACCAGCTTGTTTTATCCTCGTGGACCGGTGTCAGCATGTGAGAGAAAAAAAATAATGTTACGCCCCTGAAACTCTCCAGATGGAACCCGCCCTCGGTAGTCACTCTTCTTACGCTACTGCTTACGCACGCGTAAATATAGCCAGGTCACTCATCGCCTCGCAATTACACATAATTACATCTCGAGCCTGTTCTTGTCATTGTAGATTCGAGCTCAGTGACGTACGCCACGCAACGTGCAACTTCGACAATTCATGTAACTACGCAAACCTTTGGATCAACGTCGCCAAGATCTACTGTGATCAACCAGTACAACACAACCAATGTCAGCGGTGAAAGCGGACTCGAAAGGTACGCCTGTCATTTACGACAACGGCGTAACATATGCCGTAGTCGCACTGAGCAAAGTGTCTAAATTTATAAATATGCATATTTATATTATAACACGTGTTCGCCTCGTTACAGCACGGTAACACATCTCACCAGCAGTCCAACCACGTCGAGTACAACGACAACGGAAATGACAGACCCACCGCCGCCGCCACCGCCACCGTACCCACCGATTCCTACACCCCCGAAAAACAACAACAATAACCGAATAACGTCTGAGGCGGCAGAGAACGCCGCACTCATAATCGGTATCATAGCTGGTGCCCTCATAGCGATAGTACTAATAATTCTGGTGATCCTGAGGTTCAAGAATCGTCCAGAAGCCAGCTACAAGGTTGACGAAAGTAAAAACTTCTGTCAGGATCCAAATGCTGCACTCCTCGGTGCGGCTGGCTCCGGACAGCCGTTCAACGGTGCCTTGAAGAATCCTGCGAACGGCAGTAAAAACGGTAAAAAACGAGAACTCAAGGATATTAAGGAGTGGTACGTGTAAAAGGACTTTGTCCTTAATCCGGGACGTTAGTAGTGCGTGAAATTAATGAACCAGATGAATTTCTCGCGATAAATAGATTTTTAGGAGAAAACATATGGCTAACTTTTAACGTGGATATCGAACGAGCCGGTACGTTCTGCGTGTATTTGATTGTGTCACGTGAAATGCGAGAAATTAACAATGGAATCTGTTTTAAAAATTTACAAAATCTACGTAGTGCGAAAGCGTTTGCTACGTTCTTTATCGTAACGGATGATCATCACGAATCGAATGAAGTATTTTCGTGGAGCTTATCGGACTCCTCGTCTTAACAGTCGCTGTAATCGTATTTTTATCTCGTGCAAGCTCACGCGACGTACCGTATCGTATGATGGTCCTGTTGGGTACTCTTCAAAATTTTCGGGAATAAAATGAAGCGAGCCAAGACTGATTGTGTTACAAAAAAATTTTAAAGGTTAATACACTAAAGAAACGCCGCACGAGAGTGTGTGCCCAATGCGTGTGCATATGTGTGGCTGAAAATAAATTGTGACGTAATTATACCGACCGCCATATGCTCGTGGTAACGGTGTAAAAATGTATACTGATAACAAAAAAATATGCTCTTAGCGACGATAAGATAGTGGAATTTGTTTTGTTAGACAAGCACACTATTTTAATTCCAACACTTTTGACGTCGTGCGACATGCGATGAGCATACGTTAGGTTACGTAGAAAAAATGCGATTACGTTTTTGTTTACAAATAGAAATACGTTGTTTAAGTGAGGCTGGAAATTGTGAATTTATTGCTAGTGTTCCTTAGGATCGAATGAAGAAAAGTGTTGGAGGTAAAATTAAATGGCGAAAGTATAATATAAATTGATCCTATCTAGTAACTATTACACTTATTGTTGTATAGAAAAAAAAAATATATATATAAAATAATTATGTTATACGTGTAAATTGTTTATTAAATTATAGATTTTAATAATAAAGAGGTCAGCGTAGTCTATACATAATTAATACGGAACATTGATAAAATTACTCGATAAATAAAAAAAAAAAGAAAATCGAGGTGTTCCATGTTTAAAGCATAAAGGCACCCTAGAGAAACCGGAATACAAGTGGAAAAAAAAAAAAAAGAAATGGAAACTGCAGGAGGATAAAAAATTGGAGATAAAAGTCTATAACGATTAAGTAAAGTAGCGTGCATAGTGCTTATACATACACAGGGTGCGAATGCAGTATTGCCAATAAAAATTAAGAGGTGTTAATAAAACGTAAATCCGATAGTGATCATCGATACGAATTCTAAGCGAACGGATGCCGTTTTTTGCGCGCACGTTTTACTCGAAGGGCCGTAGATATTCAAAAAAAAAAAAAAAAAAGAAAGCACCGTTTCTAAAGATTAAACTTTTTTTTTTGAATAACCAGCTTCAAAAACGTCACCCCCCACGCGTTCTTCTAAGATCCGATAAGCTCGTGCTATAATGTATCACGAGTATATCCGTTTGTACAACGTTAAGGATATGGTGCGTTTCCATGAAGTACATTATAAAACACATAACAATCGACAGCCACCTTGCGAACAGGTAGAATGATATCTGCGAGCGATAGAGTGTCTGTAAATATTAAGAAGAGATCAGAGATATATTTTCATAAAGACACTTTCATATTTCATTTTGTTGAATAAGTTCACACACCGACAGAACGTACACGCGCTACGATTTACGTATCTACGGATCCAATTAAAGGGAGCGAGCGTTATCGCCCTCATGAAAATGAATTCGATCGTCCTGGTCTTCGCGAAAGTCTCGAGCGCTTTGACGAACACGAATAATTGACTAATAACTAACAAGCCAAAGATTCACAATGCTCTCGCAACAGATTGTCCGAATGCGTTTCTATGCGAGCGACAAAGTAAATGGTGATGTTTATCATTTAACGAATCTATGACGTGAACACGACCTGAGATTATTGTACGTTAATTCCCAGAAATAAGATACAAGCAGAATTTCTGTAGGACGAATGTTTCAGCGACAAACGGTGAAAGGAAGGATGAACGAAGAATCCATTAGTTGTTGTAGAGAGAGGAAAGAAAAGCGAGACTGGGGAAAAACGCGAATTGGACGATAAGGAGTTGAATTTGTTATTTTTTGTTTTGTTCTACTCAATCTTGTCTTTTCTTTGTCACGGTTACTCTAGTCGAAGGAAAGGCTAAAAAAGTACACGTACCACGCGACAGACTCGTCGAAGCAATAATGAAGAGGTTTATTTGGTACAGTGATAACGTTACGCAAGTACGAGGAAGAAAGAAGATTAAAGAAATGGGAGAAAAGAAATATGAAAAAGCGCCTTTCACGTGAGGCATCCTAGCGTGTAGTCTACTTGTAAGGCTTAGATAAAGCTTTGAGTTCTTGCTATATCAGTTTCATCGGTAACGTTATACGGTCGTTGATGTAAATTATGAGAAACTTAAGTAATTTCGACGTCCAACGTTGACCGAGTTCTTTGCATTAGATAGAAAGCGGGAAATTTAAATTTCAAAAATTTACACCGATATTACATGGCTCCTTTCTTCTTCCTATCGTCGTTCTCCTCTTCATCGTTACGTCAATTTTCATTATGTCCCCACTTCAAATAAAATTCACGTAAAATCATTTGATTCGTTCATGTGAAATTTTATGCTCCAAGCCAGCCATGCTCTTGAAAACAGTACAGAGTACTGTTTAGAACTTTTTTAACTTGTGCATAATTCGCGAATTTGGAACGAACCTTGATAGAATTAATTATGTAAAATTTTATCAAATCTCGTTCCGTCCGCTCTTCCTTCTATCTTCTCTCTTTATCTTTCTCGTTCTCTTTGACTCTCTCGACTTTGCCATTAACTGCATTGAAAACTGCATCGTTCCATGAACTCATCTATATATATATAGCGTTATTTAGAAAAACCGCACAAAACTTAATTTACCATCGGAATCATATCGAGACTCCAACTTTGAGCGATGCGTTTATCCTAAATAAGTCTATCTGTAATATTGAGCACGACCACTCTCAGGTGACAACGATCATCCATTTCTTGAACAAAAAAATGTCGTGAGTTTACTCGATGCGAGGTACGTTCTTGCCATTGAAAAAAAAAAAAAAAAAAAAAAAAAAAAAAAAAAAAAAAAAAAAAAAAAAAAAAAAAAAAAAAAAAAAAAAAAAAAAAAAAAAAAAAAAAAAAAAAAAAAAAAAAAAAAAAAAAAAAAAAAAAAAAAAAAAAAAAAAAAAAAAAAAAAAAAAAAAAAAAACATACCGCCGTTGTCGCAGCTATGCCTATCTGTAACGATCTGTGCAAAGTGATGTCAGAAATGTGCAATCGACTTATGTCCACGTATAAGCCCCTTAACAGTCCTTTACTGCATCCTGCAAACTCGATAAACAAGACCTCTGTGAAATTCGAGCGCTGCTCAACATTATCCCAGAAACGATCATTGTAACAACACACGTAAAAGAGCCGTACAGTGACAGCAGTATACATTAGATATGCTCAAACAAATGATTTTTATCCCCATCGTTCAGCAAGATTAAGTGATACGAGAAACATATATACAATAAAAATCTCTATCGACTGTGACCACGACATATCACCTTTTAAATCTTTCGCTACGGCACATTCGGACCCCTTCGCTATACTGGGACCTGCAGGAGCCAAGAGTAATGAAAGAGTTAAGAGGAACGATGTCATAGCAATTGTGAATTTTTTGAAAACGTGGTCTTAAAATTTTTTTTTCTTCATATTTGCATTCGTACTCGATCAAGCAATTGGATGAAATTATAAATTTTGGAGCTTACTTGTATTGTCCAAAATGCATTACTCCAATGACGACTGATTACTTGTTACAAATATTGAAAAATGCAGGTCGAGCATTGTATCAATCTACTCACTAGTATCACTCTCAATGTCGAATGCTCGATTAACATTTCTGAAATCATATGTAATATAAAATTGATGTGGACTTTGTATTACGTGGCTAACTTAACTGGAGGCCTACGTGCAATGTTCCTTGTAAGGAACGAAAGTATCGATTTTTCAGGACGATTCCTTACACGGAACATTGCTCTTGGCTTACCGCCTCTATCTGCATATCTTTCAATGTACTGATGACTAATGTTTATACTAAAATAATTTACTTCTATACGATATCTACGAACGAAATGTTACTCTACAATTAACTGTGTATTAACTCGAAAGAAAACCATTACATTTATCAAGAGAACCTACCGACTACCTGTAGCAGCGAGGTTGCGGCGTGACATTTATTGATTAAAAAAAAAAAAGAAAAAAGAAAGGTGAAAAAATAAACTTAAGCATAAGCGCTCGGCAGTACTTAGAGTCGCTAGCTAGATGGAATTATATTTTACATTGTACAGTTACCATGGATGCACTATAGATAGAGATTACATTCGAATAAGATACCGATGTTAGCGATAAATTATAAAAGTCTGTCTTCGACAGCGTCTTTTTTGGATGATTTTCTCGTCGTTCGCTGATCCCGAATTTACTACTCTGAGCCATTATGCTTCCCGGAATGTACTAATGACATACTCTTCAAACTTCTTGACAATTTTTCATGGATACACTACGGTTTTCTCGTTTCAATGAATTTCTATCCTGCTAGCGAGAATAGCGTCGCGACGGAGACTGTCTTACGGTTAGCCTAGCGTGAATTTGAGGGACACGACAGTTTTTGAATTGCTTTTATTTTCGCGCGTGGTAGGAACGCCCGGCGATGTCGTTTCGAGCTGATTTCATTCTTCTTAGTCGAAAACTTATTGCTTAACGACGGTCTATTGTGAATAAACTATAAGGGAGAATCGTATAACGAAGGTATCATTAACAATCAATACTACTATCACTAATCATTAATGCGATTCGCTCTCGGCAAACGAAAAAGTATTAACAATCGAAACGCCATGGCTTTTTATTTAGGACGAGTTTAACACGTAGCGTATGATATATTTAGATTTTTTACACGTCAACGGGTGATACTTGCCGTAATCGTTTCGTTAGGATTCGAATTCTTAAGCGCCCATGCGAAATCTAATGGCATCAGTCGCATTGTTATTCCTTTTATTTTGGCCGACATATTAATTTTCACTTGATTCGTTAAGAGGTACACGTTAAATCTAAAAATATACGCACGCATAACGGTACTGCGTATATAATCGCATTACAGATTTATGAAAACTGAAAACATGTAAATATGTAGGAGTAACGCCATAAGTTAAAATTATACGAATAAAGTATTGGAAAATATACGTGGTATGTCTTTTCTTATTTCTACTTTCGAATAATTTATCAGTTCACATATTTCTAGGACTCGCAAATTATACAATGTAACCCTTCTATTCGTTGTCATGTCCGTTCACTGGGATTACAGAACCAGACACGAGCAGGGAGATTGTCAGTGGGCTGATTTTCTTGAAAACACTTTTATTGGGGCGTCGACTCAAAATTTATTCGAAATATAAATTGAGGCTAAATCAAAATCTCGCAGAATATACGAAGTAGATGAACATTGAATTGAAATTGTGAAAGGTTGAAAATAAATTAAGTCTTTAGAATTTAAAATAATTAATTAAATCAATAAAGCTGGATATTAACACTTGGAAATCAGAAATCCTGGCCAAGATTACTTGGAAGTACTGGAAGTTGCCCAAAATTATGTGCGCGCAAATTCGTCGCGCAGGTCTCGGTGAGTGGGAGCAGCCGGGGAGTGGGGGAAGCGCTTAAGGGCAGGGCTCGGACTCGGAGCGCTCATTCATCCTTGAGCTGGTCTCCTATATTGGTCTCTTGGAAAAACCTATCGTATTCATTTCCAACCTTCTTCTATTTCTATATTTATGTCTTCTTTACATCCTTATTTCTTTATATTTCATTCTTTACTTTCTCATTTATCTCTTTCCTTTTTGTTCTCTATTCTTATACCCCTATTCACTACTTTTCTACTTCTTAACTTCTTTATTTCTATCTTCCCTTCTCTCTTCTCGTTTCACTCCGTTCTCTCTCACTTTCCGTTGTGCTTGTCTTACACTTCCTATTCCTTTGGTCTGGTCGAGCATATCTATTCGAGTAGTCATATAAGGGTAGTCACCCTGTTAGAGTAGCTACACGTATAGACCATAGTGTCGGAGGCAGCCCTACCGCCTCATCCGCTGAGCTTGCTCAGTGGGTCGGGCCCAAGTTGTGGCCGCAACAGAACCTTATCGGTCTCCCGATAGGGGCCTTGAGCCCCCTTAGGGTATCTACGGCCATGGTCTTTCGTATAGGGAATCTAATCAGAGTGTCCAGCTCTCGCGCATTTAGTATAATTTGTTCGCTTTGCTAAAAACGCTCCAACATGTCGTTGACCCTTGGGTACTCATGTGGGTAGAGACGATCCTATGTGCCGGTGGGGAGGTCATGCGGGGTAGTCCGTTGGCTCTGGGTAAAGTCCTATCTGTGCTTGTGTTCTTGGGTCGGCTTCAGTTGGAGTAGGTGCGGGTGCTATTGAGCACCTGCTAGCACAAATTCACCCTCTGTCGGAGACATTTTGCGTGGGGATCGAGGGCTAGTTTTCCTCAATCAAAAAAAAAACACGGTCCCCATTCGGAGCCACGGAGGGGTCGTAGCTCCTTTCTGGAGAGGTAGCACCTCACGGAAATGGGCGAGGAGGCACCACTTATCATGCCCAGAAGAGATGGCAGCATTTATCATGCCCTCTTATCAACGAAAATTCGAACTAATGCAAATTCTTTAATAAAAATTGATCCACTAAAGTTTCGACGATGCGATTTTCAAATCACATTTGAAATCATTTTATCATAGAAGGCAGTATTGATGAAGAAAAACGAAGTCAAGATATGGAGAATATGGCAGAGATGGAATGGAAAATGGAGCACAGCTAAAAAGGGGATTCGAAGCATAAGGGAGGAGAGGGATGCTGTTAGGACGGAGGAGTGTAAGAAAGACAGAACTCATTCGTACTGCGATATTCGCAGAAGGCAAAAGAATATCAACGTGTATATGTCTTTATAGATAATTTATTTGACAAACGCAATAATGATACAGTATACGAAGTACAGATAAACATATATATATGATTTGCGAAAGATTAGTAATAACAATGCCATGAGAAATATATTTTAAATATCTCACTGCAATATAATATACATGTGGTATGTTATATGCGCTACCACTTTGGACTTTTCCTTTTCCAAAGGACTTTTTAACATCTTAGTTTTTAAGGATATACCAGAAGGAGAGTGATGGAGACATAGGAAGAAATACGAGATTCGAAAGAGTATAAACATTTGATGGCAGCAAACAAGAAAGATGTTGATGAAAGAAAAAAGAGGAAGATTGTTAAAAAAAGAGAGTGAAGACAGAAAGGAAGATAGAATTTAAGAAATCAAGAAATAGAAATGTAAAGAATAGAGGTGTAGAAGTAGAGACGAAATAAGGAAAGAGATAAATAAGAAAGTTAAGAATTACAGATAAAGAAAGAAGGAAGTAAAGAAGAAATAAATATAGAAAGAGAAGAAGGTTGGAAAGGAATAAGAGGGGTGATTCCAAGAGACCAGTGTAGGAGACCGGCTCATGGAAGAATGAGCGCTCCGAGTCCGGGCTCTGCCTCGAGCTCGCCCCCCACTCTCCGCCTGCTCCCACTCACCGAGTTCTGCGCGACGAATTTGCGCGCACACAATTTTGGGCAACTTCCAATACTTCTAAATATGCTTGGCCAGAATTTCCCATTTCTAAGTGTTAGTATTTTACTTTATTGATTTAATTAATTATTTTAACGTTCCAAACACCTAATATATTAATATTTCAATTGAAACGTAATTTATTTTCGACATTCTACAATTTCAATTCAATTTTTATCTACTCCGTATATTCTGCAAGATTTTGATTTAACCTCAATTTTTATTTTAAATAAATTTTGAAAGTAAATCAAGATCCAATAATATTTAGTAAAAATTGAGGTGCTGCATGGGTGTCAAGTTGGCACTGCACTTTCTTAAAAATGTCCTTAAAATGTTTCAACAATAAGCTTTTTCAATAGTTCTTGAGAAGTTTCCGGTCTCGGTCAAAGGGTTGCTTTGTGAGCCAGTGGTGAATAGCGGAGAACCTCTGCCCGCCAATCTACGCGTTCGTGTTCATTTTTAGCTCGGCTACGACGGGATATGCTTTGTCGACGGAGGCGATGATCAGAAAATTGTACTTCCAGACTCGCCGCTACGATTCAGCGCCATAATTTTGGTATCGCCTAAAATCGTAGCGTTGCGCATCTCCCTACTCATCTCTGCTATATCTGGCACATGTCCCCGATTGGGACACATCTCCTCATTGGAGGAGTCAGCCATAAGGAAAGGAAGGAAGGATCTCTGCTATATATGCGCTGTTGGGGAGTTTGTTGCTACATATGTATCTACTAATGATTGGAAACATTTGAGGTTATGTTATGTTATGTTTACTGGACATTTATTTCAGTTTACTCAGATGAAGTGATACTTGTTGGGGATTTAAAAATCATCAACACGTGTAATCTGTCCTTTTTCAACTGTTTGATAAATCATACTGATTCATCAGATCAACCGGTATATAAGTAATGGAAAGTTAGTGAAGAAAATATGTAATATCTTAAAGGGTGAAGTTTAAATACTAGATTACAAAGTGGTTAGATTATGTCAATAATATTCATCTTTTATTTTATTAAATGCAGTCGTTTTTCTGGTAGCCTCTCATTATATTTGAAAAATATTAACACTGTAACTATATTATGACGTTTTAAATTAAATTATCTTAATTTTAATAGCATAAATTTAATATTTTTCTACAAAATATATGTATTATTATAGGATTTTGTAGTTATATTCATGTTCCTAAAATATAATAGAAGTGAAGTTTGAAAATCATGCCTGATATTAAAATAACACCATTGGGAGCTGGTCAAGATGTGGGCAGGAGCTGCATTCTTGTATCTATGGGAGGAAAGAATATTATGCTCGACTGTGGGATGCATATGGGTTTTAACGATGAAAGAAGATTCCCAGATTTTTCATACATTGTACCAGAAGGTCCTGCAACTAGTCACATAGATTGTGTTATAATTTCACATTTTCACTTGGATCACTGTGGTGCGCTTCCATATTTTACAGAGATGGTAACTTGTTAATTAAATATAAATCTTGATCAACATATTTTAACACTATTACAACTAGTAATATTCTTCTCAATCAGGTAGGCTATACTGGTCCAATTTACATGACCCATCCTACCAAGGCAATAGCTCCAATACTTCTAGAGGATATGAGAAAGGTTGCAGTAGAGCGAAAGGGAGAGAGTAACTTCTTCACATCACAAATGATCAAAGACTGTATGAAAAAGGTTATTGCAGTCACTTTACATCAATCGGTAATGGTTGATCCGGAATTGGAGATAAAGGCATACTATGCAGGACATGTACTTGGAGCTGCTATGTTTTGGATTCGTGTTGGTGCGCAAAGTATTGTATATACTGGAGACTATAACATGACTCCAGATAGACATTTAGGTGCAGCATGGATAGATAAGTGTAGACCAGATTTATTGATCTCTGAATCAACTTATGCCACAACTATCCGCGATTCCAAAAGATGTAGAGAGAGAGACTTCTTGAAGAAGGTACAAACATTAATTGTAATGCATTGTTATTACGTTATCTAGTAAATTTACAATGGATTCTATTACTTTTAGGTTCATGAATGCATAGATAGAGGCGGCAAAGTATTAATCCCGGTGTTTGCACTGGGACGAGCTCAAGAACTCTGTATACTTTTAGAAACATACTGGGAAAGAATGAATTTGAAAGTTCCAGTATACTTTGCCCTTGGTCTTACAGAAAAGGCAAATAATTATTATAAAATGTTTATCACTTGGACAAATCAAAAGATTAAGAAAACATTTGTACAAAGAAACATGTTTGAGTTCAAGCACATAAAACCGTTCGATAAAGCCTATATTGATAATCCGGGAGCTATGGTTGTTTTTGCTACCCCAGGCATGTTGCATGCTGGACTATCATTGCAAATCTTTAAAAAGTGGGCTCCAAACGAAGCAAACATGGTTATTATGCCCGGATTCTGCGTGCAGGGTACAGTCGGTCACAAAGTCCTAAATGGCACTAAGAGAATAGAGTTTGAAAATAGACAAATTGTAGAAGTGAAGATGGCTGTAGAATATATGTCTTTCTCAGCTCATGCTGATGCAAAAGGTATTATGCAGTTGATACAATATTGCGAGCCCAAAAATGTAATGCTGGTACACGGGGAATTTGCAAAAATGGAGTATCTCAAAGAAATGATCAAACAAGAATACGGGACGAATTGTTACAATCCTGCTAATGGAGAAACTTGCGTGATATCAACTTCGTCCAAAGTACCTGTTGATGCATCTCTGGCTCTTTTGAAAACTGAAGCAAAAACGTACGCAGCATTACCTCCAGATCCGAAAAGACGAAGATTACTTCACAGTATCTTGATGCTTCGAGAAGATGGTGTGTGCCTCGTAGACGCTGATGAGGTCGGTATTAATTTTGTTAATTTTGTATTACGTTATTTGTTTATATGCATAAGAAAGAATTACGTATGTCATTTTCCAAATTTTGTTACAGGTGGCCAAATCTGCAGGAATTTCAAAACATGTAGTTAGATTTACATCTACACTGCATGTGAGAGACCCCAGCCCAGCACATGCTACTACTACAAAATTGTTACAACCCCTAAAAGAACGACTACAGGGTTGGACTGTTCAATTAACCGATGGTTCGATATCGGTTGAATCTGTTTTGGTTAAAGTAGAAGGCGATAAGGATGATCAAAAAAGTGTTTATATTTCATGGACTAATCAAGATGAAGATCTGGGAAGCTATATTCATGGATTTCTCCAAACCATATTAAATTAATGCACTTAGAGGTGAGTTGATTCCCTTAACTTAAATCTTACGTTATGCTTATGAATGTTTTTTATGCAAGACTCCGTATAGCGACAGCTCTTTTTTGAGAAATTTAAAAGACAGCTTCTTCTTTCCTCCGTTAACTTACGCTTTTAAAGAGATTGACACACGTTAAAGATCGAGACAAAATTTTGAAGTTGTCTCTAGTATTAGCATTCCAAATAGCTCTAATTTTATAATGATCAGTTTAGTTATTTTTAAAGAAAAACGAAGCTACCTCTGATTTCAGGAGTATTTGGTGAAAACGTAATATCGTGGAACTTCAATATATGACAGAGATTATAAATTTAGTTTTTAAAATATTAAAGTTTAGCATGGATTAATAATCAATAATTAATAAGACATCGTCGATTGTGCACAAATTCTCAGTTTCTTTTTTCCAATAAATTCATAATGAAATGTAATTATTTCTGAATACTTCCTCGTCGGACTACTGATATTTAAGAAAAGTAAATAATATAATACAAACTCTTACATTTTACATATATTTTATTTCAGTATAATTCTTATGCTATATTACAACTGTAATGATATTAAACGAGACTTTAGAAATTACCATCTTTTTCGGACGATACATGCATGTGTCAAAATTGAAAACATTTCATTCGTATAATTTCAAGAGAAATATAAATAATAAATGATTCTACAATAACATAACATAACATGGTCTGTCTTGTGTAGTAGCATAGCAGTGATAATAATAATCAATAATTAATTTGGCAATGCTGCCATTCCATGTTGACCTATATTGACTAATTGAAGTACGAGTAAAGTAGAAACATAATTTGCCATAACGTAAGGAAATAAAAATTATCGTGTACAAAGCTTTCAAGATTGCCGGGATTGTCAGCAGCTATAAATTGAATATCATTTGGATTTCACCTGTATTTATTATAACGTTTATGCAATAACGACATAACTTGCGAATAAGGGAATAAATCATTCCCGAGTTCACCTTAATTTCCCTAGATATCAAACGTATATAAAATAAGTACGGTGTGGGATGAACAAAACTTGTAGCTCTTAATATAATGAATTTATTACTTTTCCATTGAACTCTAAATGATTTATTTACGAGCTAATAGCTCAGGTAGTGTTCGGTAAAGATTAAACTATATGCGCAATCAAAGTAAAATTGACATATCAAAAAGACGATACCTCAGCAAGTTGTTATTGTATTTTTTATTTTGTCCTACGCATTTTTTTTTTACGGAAAATGCTTGCCTTATATAAGATATTGTTTTCTACTGAAGTTGCATACACTAACGCACGCTTGCTCCTTTCATTATCAACATCATATTTCACCATTACTTCAAACACTGTAGTTACATTTTCTGTAACGAAGTCTCGTGCAACTAAGATATAATTTGACTTAGGTGCAACATAGTCCTAATGAGTTTTGGAATAAATGCAATTAAATTTCAGTTGTATAATTTTTCTATCCAGACTCTTGATATGACCCTACCTGTAGAATAAATGTTTGAAAAATAGAGTTTGCGCCCCCTACATTGCCACGTGTCAAATTAATGATATACATGATATTCAATTCAATTTCACGTGATAATCGTATTCTACTTGGCTAGATCCCACTAGAATTCTTTCGTTCGCACAAGACAGTAGGTCTTGAGTTATTTATTGCACATGTAATTTACTTAAAGAGCATTTCGACTGTGTATACAAATTCATTTCAAGTACGAAATTTACTTAAAAATTTCATCATTGTAGAGATGCCTAATTTATCGGCATATATATATATATATATAATTAACATATATAATTCCTGTTGCATTATTACTATTACGAAATTTGCCCTTTACCCACTAATAAAACAGAATACTAATTACGAGTTCGAGTTGGTTTAATTAATTGGATATATTTAGGCTGAGTGGGACGCTGTTGTTATTCCATGCCCATTTTGTGGACGGGACACGCTTATTTTACGCATTTCACATGACAATTCAGCGAAATTATGCATTTTATAGAAATACAAATTCTACGAATTTTGTCGCGACAAAAAGAACATAATCTGACGTTAAGAGACGTGTAATAGCTCCTGCATCCGTGAGATGCGACTCGAGTGGTACTTGCACGTTTATTTGTGTAACCGTCACACATACCATTTTCAACATTTTTCTTTACTACCTACTTGTTTACTTGCTTAAACTTACTCCACATAATAAAATATGATATTTTTTTTTATAATAAACATTATCAGTATCATTTTAATTATTATATTAGTCTTCTCAGTAGCAAAATCTCTGCCATTTGTGGTCACAGTATGACTGCTTACCCCTGTTTAAACACGTATGGGCCATATTCATAGTCATCTGATTTAAGTTACTAGCTCATAGTGGCGTTTACAATATTCGAAAATGCATTGCATTAGTTGACTAGGAGCGATTAACTTCAACGTGATGTCTCTGAATACGACTACTTATTTCATTCTTGTATCGTCTCCACTGGTACTCCGTTAACGCAGCTTATTCTTTGGAGTTACTTTTTTCCTGAACCACCCTGAAAATACATTGACATGATTTAATGGCCAAACGTTAATGTATGATTATACGTTGAATCATAGGAGAGACAGAACTACATTCAACATTAAACAAAAATTGCACCTTCATTTTTTCGTCAGTCCCTTTTCCAACAATCTTTCGCGTATAATACTGTAGCAAGAAGGATATGTTCCCAAAACCGCGAAACATGCCAAATTGTCTAATTTTACATTTTTATATTTCAAGCTGATTATTGTTGGAAAAGGGTATCCTTTTTGCGTGTTTTTTCTTTGTGTCCACACATTATTAGCACATTGTAATGTCAGTAGAATAGGACATAAATAGGAATAGCTAGTAAAATTTTCATATCAACTTCAACACCTAAACTTCTAGCAACCTATTGAAATGAGAAACAATAACTAAACACGCACAAAGGTAGGTAATATTTAAACTGTGAAAAATCAAAAATTAACAATCACCAATTGCTAAAAAGCTGCATGAAATTGATTAACTAAATGGAATAAATTCTCATGGTATTACTGCACCGAATAAACTAAATAATAAATACAGGCAAAAAACAATATTAGCAGGCAAATAGTGTAGATAATAAATGGGTCATTTATACTGTTTGGGTCACAGAAATTAATATGCTTCGACATAGATGAAGTTTCACTGAGCGTTTCCGAAGCGCCAAAATCAAGGTATCTATTCGTGCACAAGGAAGACCCACAACAATACAAATTCGCATTCATTGTTGCAATATGATGTGCGTAGTCTTGCATCTTATCGACTTAATACAAAAATCTACTATTTAGTGAAAACTTTGAAATTTTTATCTAAGGTGCATAAATCTAAAATAACGTCACATAATGAAGATGACATTTAAATGAAAATGAATATCCATATGTGATCTGAAATGAAAAAGGAGATACGATATAATATAACTACATATGCATCATTAAATATTAATATAAAAACATATAATAAATGATAAACATAATTAATGGGAATATTTAGTCGACTACACAGAGTGTACCCTTTACCCCAGTGTTTGCGTTGACAAAATTTCTTAAAACTTTGCAACTATTTACAATCAATAATTTATAATCAAGTGTTTCCATTATTATATCAATTAATGACATTTCGACTCTGGTGCTTCGTTATATTAATACGGAATACTAATTATGTGCGAAATAAGTCATTTCCATCCGTATATACAAATTTTCTTAATTATTAATGTCTTTTATGATTTTCTTCTCTAACCCTTTCACCTTGGTCCAACAGAGAATCTGACTACAATAATAACACAGAATATAAAAATGCATTAGGTTCTCAACTGACAGTGAATAATAATTTTGATTAACATTTACTATAAATTTCAACAAAAAAAAAAAAATATTTCGGAATAAGTAATAACAGCATAGTCGAAATCATCACTACTAGAACAAAAAATGACTATCAAAATATTTAATTAAGCCAAGACTCACAGCGTTCGGTGAAACGCCTTCCTTTTGTTTTCCATTTCCTACCTATGTACAATCTGCTCTCTTGTCATTGACATGAACTGACCTACTATTCTTTTCTCTTGTTCCATTTACCACACTGCAACCATCCAACATACAAATGGTTACACCGAAAGCGAATGCTAGAAGCCACTCTCGTAAATGTCTTATACGGTATAAATCACCACTGTACGGTATCTGATAACGAAATGAATGTAAAGGAAATGAAGGTGAAAAAAGACGCGTGTAATTGCCAGCGCTGCGTATGATGATCTGGGACAATCAAGATGCAAAAAGACATTCACTATGCACTATAGTAACAAAAAAAAAAAGAAAAACGAAAAAAGGTGGAAACCTAAAGCTATTTGAACATAAACATTATGCAGCTATGATCCAAACATCGCATATGATCTCAGAATGGATTGTGAGAGACTGTAATATGATATATATGGAATACAAAAAAAAAATTATAAACGACCGACGACAAAACTTACACTTTATGGTAAGTTGATCGTTCTTAATTAAACAGGACGTATCTGGACCAGTGTACGATACATAGGGAAGAATATAAATCTCTAGTTGTTATAATATGTTATCACACAGCAATGCATCATTACACTAATAACGAGAGCAATTTTATAGCAATGTACTGTGAATCAAGAAATTGGTGGAATTTTGAGGAAAGACGTTGCTTGAGAAAATGAAATTTCAGATTCTATAAAGGATCCTGTTATTATCAAGATATCTCATGTACGTCATTTACTATACATGATTGCAGCAACAAAATGAGAAAACAAAATTTGTTTTTATCGCAAAAACTCATTTAACGTATCAATTATATTTTAATCACGTTGAATTTAGAGAGTGACTTAATACCTCAAGCAGGCCCAAACGTTAGTCCTCGTAAGGTGTATTTAAAAAAAAAAGTTCATAATGATAATGAAATATATGTATATGAAAATAACAGAAAAGTACGTAAAAACAAAAGATTATAAAACCGGATAAGTACAAACTGCTACCAGCAGTCTACCATCAACCCTTTTGATTTAAGGCTAAGAGCCAACATTTCAGAATCTCATTTTTATTTTTCCATACCTGCGAATCTGCGCCGCTTTGCCGTGGATTTCTTAGTGGACTGTCGGAACAACCAAAACACAACAGATACGTTATTGGTTATAACGTCAGGCTAAAAATGGCAGAACTATTTTTTTTTTATTTCTCTCATAAGTGAACGACTCTCATCGACGGCTTCTGACAAATCACTTTTTGCACAATGGACATCTCATTATTGCCAACGTATATCAAGTTAAATCTTAATGAAACGTTAGAACAAACACTGGGACAAAGGGACGTACGTAGTACCCCAAGTAGCATCAAATTATCGACCCCCCCGAATCGTATAATATTGATGTACCTGGTAAGGGTATGACGAGAGCATGATCCTGTTATGGTTACTCGAATAATTACAAAAATTAAAAAAAAAAAATCTGACTGAAGGAGTGAAGCACCTATTGTAAAATTATTTATAATGTGTATACACACTTAATCATTGTTTTCATAACTTGATCATTATCAAGAATAAAGTGTTTATAATGAAACACTATCCTATAAATAATAAAATAAAAGTATGATCCTCTAACTGTAGATCTATCACGTATAAATTGTGTTGCGTTCATTATGTGTATCATGATTATATCATTATCAAGTGATATATTTCAAAGTAATTAATATCGTATTATAGACGTTCGATAGAACTTCAATGATGTAGTGACTACAATTTAATTTCACGTTCTCTTCATTCGCCTGCAACTTTCTATGCAATTTTTTTATCAGATTTTTCTGCAACCTCAGATACTGCAGAACATTTATGAGAACGTGTAAAATCACTCAAGTATTTTATACCTTTCTCATTTGTCAATCTATGCGAACTTAAATGGATTTGTGAATAAACTCTGAAAATAATATATACTACTTTACAAACTACTACATCGTTTTACCACCATTGAACTAATTGTAAGTCACGCATGCCAATTGGTTGTGGTAACTACCCGCCACAAGTAATTTTCTTTCGTAGAATAAAACCACTAGCATAAGTATAACAACGAAATGCAGGTATTCAGTCGGTCTACCGCAAAATACTTCCTTCCGAAATACGATCTACTAAACAGAATGTCAGAGTAAGTGAATCACAGCAACATAAGAGTAAAAACACCGTTGTGCTTAAGACCATTGTAAAATACAGTCGTCAATATTCGAATATCGTATTTCAACGTTGATATTCATCGAATAAACTTATGTCATTAAAGCTTAGATTGCAAATTATATTTTCGTCTCTACGTACAACATCTCATTGCAACTAAGTTATGTGCTCCAATGAGAATCTGTCGATTGAAGAAATATTTTATAAGAGTAAAAATAGTAGATTAATTATATTTATCGTTTGTACAATGGCATCAATAGTATAACAATTGTATCAATATAATATTTCAATGATTGGTTTCTTACAGATAATTTTACTAATACATTCGGACGAATCAAACGCTACAATTGATAGACGACATACTTCACAATGGTTGAGCACAAGCGAAATGAACTTTCAATTGCCAATTACCAACTGAGGTGCATCAATTATATTTATCGAGCCAGTAAAACCTTCCCATAATTTCAAAAATTTATGGGTTTACCTTCCTCTTTTTCTTGTGCTTTTTATGTTGCTGGCCATTCAAGGGATTCCAGCTAGCCTGTGTGTTGTGATCTGTCGTGTGACAGGTTTTGGGGGAGATTTTTGAGGTAAGGGACCTGTTGTCGTTTTCTGCCTGAGACTGAAGCGAATTGATGGGCTCGGTTATTGAACAGTTTGCAAGTTCTGTGTTCTTGAAGGTTTTTTCTAATGCGGCTAGCAAAGACTGTGCCGCTAGTGTTGGCTGCATTTTATTGAGAGATGTCAATACGAGGGTAGTCATTGTTCACCTTTTCATGCAAACAAAAGCAATGTCCTTTCTCATTACACTTCGCATAATTTCTAAGACATTGCTCCTTTTTGCCTGCTAAATCAAATCTGGCGATTAAATTGGTCCTGTATGTTATTCGTACGATGAATATAGCAAAGGAATGAATTTCATTTCATAATTTAAGATAATCAATTGCGTACTATTATGAAAAAAAAAATCTATGATTTCTTCTCAAATTAAATATGCCTCGCTTCAAAATAATCGCCATTTCGTTATAGCATATACAAATTTAAAAAAAAAACACTGATTAAATACAGGCACCATTCGTTAGGTTCGATTGCTCAAAAGATTCTAACGGTATGAAATAAAACCTACGATTGCAAAATAACAGTTGCACATTAAAAATTGCAAAAACAATGACGTTGAAAAGGGTATAAACAAGCGAACCTACTGAACGCTAAAAATTCATAATGAAATGAAATTCAAGATCCAATAGGAATTCGATTAAAACACTCTGTTACTTCTCCTTTACGGAAAGCGCATATTATTCACGACACAAATATTCACCAAAAACCCAATACCGAAAGAGAATAATATATCGTCTTTAACAAAGTATACTGATAAGTAATACACAGTAATAGTACATTTGTATTAACTTTCTTAATTTTAGATTTTGACCTCCATATTAGTTTCCCCTTTCGACATAACCTAATATTCTGTCTTTGGGTATTGGTTCTTCCAGAGAATAAAATACTGTCATAATAAATAATCACAGCCGTGATAGCACCTACTAACCTCGGATTTAGGAGAATCAGATGTTGGTGGACCATTTAATGTTGATTGATCCGAGCTGCTACTGCCACCACAAACTTCACTCTGAAACACATCCGTCCACACATTTGATACATACACACGCCCACTCACTCTATACAAAATACACGATGATTCCACCTTCGTCTTCGACTTCAAACGCTCATCTCTACCTATTTCGATGAATTATTCATTCTTTGATTTATAGCTCAACAGATTTTGGAAAGTATCGACCCATTGCATTATTTATTTACGGTCTTACCTTGAGTTGCGTCACCTCTTGTTGAAGTTGTGAAACGAGATTCTTTTCTTGAACCAAGCTGGACTCACTAGTTTCCACAAGAGAACGAAGCTTGATGACTTCTGCGTCCAGAGTTGCTCTTTTACTGCTTTCGCTTTGCAACTCTTCCGACAGTCTCGCCTTCTCCTGTAACGAAATAAAAATTCAACCAATGCAGTTCCAAAGCGAGTCTACTTAAGCGAATCCGTGCTGCATGTAAATTATTAAGAATCGGACAGTAGAAAGGGTATCAGAAATCGCCTAGTAGAAGGAAATAATCGATTTCGGAACCTCGCTGTCTGAAGAATAATTAAGACAGGCCTAAATAAATACAAAATATCCTGCTTGTACTACAGAGTGCTGTACTTTAATTTCAAATTGTTTACTGGTACTATTCATTATCTATTTTTAATACAATATTGTTGTACCTCTTGAAGCTGTTCCAGAGCGGCAAGGTCATGACTATGACCTCCTTTAGTAGGAGAAGGTTTGTGTGCAGCTCTGAGAGCCAGCAATTCAGCCTTAGCCTCTTCTCTAAGTGATTCTTCTTCAGCTAATCTTGCTTCCAACTCCGATATTTTTTGTTGAAGCTATATAAATAGAAACAGACACGCTTAGTGATACACTTTTTTACAGGAGTCTTCACGATGTAAGCAATGTAGGATACCCGAATGTCTTTAAGAAATTTAAATCTTACATGAATAAATAATTTGACATAGCTTTATTATTCTTTACATAAATGCACAAGAAGTAATTATTCTGTATACTATTTGATTCCCCTATTACGTCCCCATAGGAAGATATAAATGGCGAAAGCGAAAACACAACAAATACGGGACAAATATAAGAAATACACGAAAGAAGCAGAGACTGTATTAAACAATTCAAGTGTTTTACACTACATTACAGGAGACGACACAAAAATATAAACACAATTCCATGTCATCAACTAATTTAAAAAATGTATCTAACTTCCATTTAATTAATACGCAAATCACTTTCCACGTAGGTACCCCGGAATTAATTACGCTCTAATGATAACAATGCATAACTGAGCAAAGTGTTAGTGACATGGAAATTGAGTTCCCATTGCCATAGTCGATAAAAGTTTTCTACAAATCCGATTCTAGGTGGACACAACAATAGACCCGTACAATTTTTGAACAAGGGAGACTCCATACCTCACTGGTGATGGCGGGGAGAGATTTCTCGATACAGTTAAATGCAAACTCGACCCCATCACTGTCATAGTATACGGAGTCCACAGTTTGATAAACTTGTTTTATCGCCAGCTGCCACAACGATATACACTATCATGAACTCTCAGACACTTCCTAACAACTACCTATATCTGCTACCTGGTATTAGACCATGACACATTGGTACCCTTCAATAGAAAGCCAAAATCCACAACTCTTGATGAAACAATGCTCTATGTAAAACCTAACATTCAGACTACAAAATATAGTCACATATAAATGACAGCAAATAACTCAAAATAACGTAACAACGAAGAGAAATGTGTAATTCTGATTTATTTTTCTTTTATCATTCATAAAAACCAAACTTCGTAATAATCGTATGAAACTCAAACATCTATTTTAACTACAACGTTGTGTATGCATATGTAACTGTTATTATGAATATCTAACAATCCCCACTATAAAGTCATGCATAACAATTCTCTCTAAAAAGATACAAAAATATCAGTTGAACGTTCATCTTACCTTTTCACTGACGGTCGATTTATTTCGAAGGTCGTTAAGTTCTACCCTCAGATTTGCTACTTCGTTTTCTTTTTGCCGAAGTTGCGCCTGCCATCTTGTTTCTTCCGATTCTATATGACTCTGGAGTTTGTTAAGCATACTTTCCTACAAATTGATATATACACGTTATATAAAAATAAACCTTATGGAAATATATTTACATTTCTACAACGAGTCTTACCGTGTCATCAATAATTTGCTTGTAATGCGAAACCATTCCCTGTAGATTCTGATTTTGGCTTTCTAAATCAGGATTTCCTTGAGGCACTTCTTGTTTCTTTCTTAATTCAATGAGAGCCGCGTAAACCCTCTCTTCGAAGGCATTTACCCATTTCTCGTGTGATTTTTCGGACACTTTAATTTCTGGGAATATCCTTTGCAACAGTGCTTTGGTTGTTTCCTGTTCTTCGCTTTGTGCCTTCTGTATTAACTCCTATAAATTAAAAGAAACCAGCGTAACACAACATATTTTAAATATGATGGTCGAACAGATGAAATGATACTGAAAATTTCATTATTTCACGTACATATGCTACAATCAACCATGTATATTCGAACACAGTTTAAAATATAGATAATGATGTCATTACAAATATACAAATGATCGTCACTAAACTGTTGCATAGAAAAATGTTTTGATTGTGTTGAAAAATCCCGAAATGTTTGCTATTAAAATTGAAATACGCCAAAATTAGTATCAGATACGAAAATGGATTAAAAAGTGATAAAGGAACATAAAAAGTTCTAATTACACAGGAGAGAGACTTACATCAGCGCTCTTTTCGGTATTGGTTTTAGCGCGGTACTCGGCAGCAGAAAGAGCTTCCATCACTTTCCAGTTCTTAGTACGTAACTCCTGAAGTAAGCCACAAAGTCAACAAAAAGAAATAAAGAAATCAATAAAACCTACTGACAATCGGGTACGTAAAAAAACAATAGTCTACTGTTGAAGTTGTTTCAATATATGAAAAAGAATATCTGTCAATGTATTTAAATAAAAAAATTATTGGTAAAGTGATGGAAGCAAGTAAAGAATATACTGTGAATAAAATTCGATCATAGGATATTTAGTGATGACTTGTTTCATTTTTAAAAATAACGTTAATACTACTGTTTATAAATTATTAACAACATAGCTCAGCGCTTACATTATTCTTTGCACGTTGAGCATCCAAATCGTCTTGCAATCGTTTAACGAGGCTACGTTGATTGTTCACGTCACTTCGTAAAGTTTCAACTTGTGCATTCAGTTTAACGAGTTCCGTTTCCTTTTGCCGCAATTCATGAGTCAGATTATCCAGTTTAAAGTTTCTTTGCTCAGCACTGTGTAACGGCAAACAACAGCAGATATTGACATACAATTTTTTTACTCACGTTACATTGTTCTTTTAATATCACTATCAAACATAACTTGTATTAATAATTATCAAAAATACTTACAGTTGATCATGTTCTAAATGTTGAACATTGTTTTTCTGGGTCTTTTCCTCGATACCATTTTCGCGTCCTTCAGCAGCTGGGCGTTCAGTGATGGCTGCCAATCGAGATTCCAATGTATCCTTTTCATGGCGAAGATGTTCCAGTTCTTTCTGTAATTCAGCAACATTTCCGAGCTGAAAAAAAGTAATAAACATCGTTGAAAGAAGATTTAAATTTCAAATGCGAATAATTTATCTTTTTATTACATCATCCTTGTTCAATCTACCTGAGCTGACAGTCTTTCATTTTCCTCCTGCAAACGCATAACTTGCAAGTGAGCATCGTCCGATTTCTTGCCTCCCTGTTGAAGTCTGTCAAATTCAGCCTTGAGATTTCTGAGTTCCTCCACAGTGACATTTGATGCCTTCAAATCGGCCTGTGCCTTAAACAATTCTCCCTGAATCTTGGACAATTCGGCACTAGTATTAGTCAGGTCATGTTCTGCTTTGGTAAGTTCATTCTGAGCTTGCTTCAAATCATCATGTGCCTTAACAAGTTCTGATGTCGCTTTCTTCGATTTTTCTTGAATACTGTTTAATTCAGCCTCGACACGTTTGAATTCAGCTTGAGATTTTTGCAATTCTTCCTGCGAATTATTGAGCATGGACTGGACTTGCTTCAGCTCGTCTTCTTTACCAACCAGTAAAGTTTTAAGCGTCGTAATTTCATCAGCTTCGGATTTAACCTCAATTTGCGAAAGGGATAGGTCCGATTTCAATTTCATCAATTCTGACTGAACCTTATTGAATTCAGCCTTTACAGCAACAGCCTCGCTCCCTTCGGTTTTCGCAACATTCAATTCAGCTTTAATGGTGTTTACTTGTTTTTGTAACTCCTGCTGATGACGATGAGCAGTTTGTAATCTGTGATCCAAATCAGCCTTAGCACGATGGGATTCCTACGAAAGCAACACACGACTCGTTATGTCAAGAAACAGCTAACTTTATGAAGAAAACAAAATGTTGTACAATATACATAATCGTTAACGCTTACCTCAAGTTGTCTAGCCATATCCTGTAGTCTGTCACCCGCCTCTTTGAAATGCTGCAACTGGCTTTCTGAATGCATCAACTGGTCTTGCATGATACTCAACTGTTGTCGCAGCATCTCTATCTCAGCGGTGCTATTCTCGCAAGTAACTTGCAATTCTTGAGAAACTGTCAAGCTAACATTCTGCAACTCTTGAACTTCCGCGTGTTTCTGTGAAAGTTGTGCTTTCAAGGCATTCTCATTGTCACGCATCTGAGCGTACTGCGCCTCCAATTGTTTACGTTGTGCAATCAACTCCTGCTGCATGTGGCCTTGTGTCTGTCCCTGATCTTCCTTCATCTTATGAATAATCGCAGCATCTTCATTAACCTTTGACTGAAGCTGCTCGATCTGCCGTGCAAAACCTTGTTTTTCGGCGGCATGACTCTCTAAGATGTGTTGCATACGAGTGTGAAGTGTCTGCGCCTCGGTAACCTTTGCGTTAAGAGCCTCTTCGAGTTGTCTGACGCTGGCAGACAATCTGGATCGCTCGGCATTAAGTTCAGCACGCAGTTCCTTCAACTTATTCTGAAAGGCAACACTGGCTTCATGCTCATCAGCAAGAGCCTTCTCTCTTTCAGCAAGTTGTTTCTTCAATTTTATTACGGGATCTGCACGGCCTTCAGTCCATTCTGAGTGTTCCAACGGGTTATCCAATTGCTTGTTCAAAAGCTGATCAATAAGAATTTGAATTTCGGAACGGCTGAGCTCAGCCTTCTGAACGAGAGGCATCAATAGAGAAACGTTGACGCCGTCTTTGTCTCCACCTACAATCAAACAAACATCCCCTCAACTGTATTAATAGAACCTAGACAGAATTGCCCATAATATCCTAACAAAAGTAACAATGAATGCAAGTTGTATATCGTTTATAAAAGCAATCATTAAATTACATAAATGATTGCTCCAGACCTGCGTAGACACAATAACTAGTATATCACTACCAATTCATAAATATTTAATTATAGTCTGACAAAGCGAAAACACTGAGAAACCTAGGTCATAGCTAAGAAACAGTTAACACAAAATTAGCATACATTGGACTGGTATAATTATAGTTTAAACGGCAGAGCGAGTTAATGAATGCGACTAAGCTATTGCCATGAGACAGGTCAACTATTTCTATCCTATTTAATACCCCTGCTCGGAATTTTTAAACGGACAGCTGATAATATTAGATAATCATACTGCAACAAAATCACCAATAAGGTAATATACTAAGTCGTACATTTTATCGAAAAGAATGTATGCAGAAAGCTACTCCTAATATGAAAGAGACCTTGGTGGTAACTGTTCGGACATCGACCTAAGTGGACGGAGAGGGGGACTGATTCCACCTCAGCCACATTCCAAAGCACTACAGTGGAATATACCTGATTTTAGCTTGGCTGAATTCTTCTTGAAACTCATGGGACTCTTATAAAATTGGCGAACAATGGTGATATAGTGCCATTATTGAATGGGTTTTTCATTAGAGCTTCAAATTAATACTAATCATCAAAGATCGGATGTACACAAATCCGATAAAGAAATTAGGTATGGCTCTCTAATTGAGTATTAACATTATAAGATTATAATCAGAAATAGTTTTATGTGTTTGCATTAAATTAAATGAATTATATGTTGTAGTGTTTATTTTTAATTAGGGAAAATTGTGTCTGAGACAGCATATATTTTCCTATGTTATTTCCAATGCCGTTTCCTGCAATTTTTCACTACAATAAAAGTTGAATTAGTAAGATCGTTGGCATAGGAAGTATCAAAGTAAGTAGTAAAAGCAGCGCCTTGATAAGTACTGGCAAACGAACAAAAATGATTTTAGACACGGTTGAACTAAATATAGATAGTCTTGTATAGACCGTAGACTATCGCGTTCTAAATAACATATATCAGTACTGAACTCTGTAGAAACGCAATAAAAGTTACACGCGCTGAAGGAGACAATAAGAGCTCGACGCTTTCGATTTATGTTTCTGTTACAAGAATAAGGTCAGGTGTAGAATCGATACAAGACTTTGAATTATAAAAGAGCAGTTTAGGTTTTCTATGGATTTTTCTTCGCGTAATAAGGATCTCAAGTGCCTATCGACATACGAAGTCCGACAAACTGTATCCCGACTAACGATCGGCAGTATAAGCTTTCAATGTTCGATTGTATGATTGTACGTTAGGAATAACATTCTTGGCTAAAAGTAAGAAGTGAATTTTAGCGCTTTTGACAGCTCTGAGCCGGATTTAACTCAGAGTACTGAGTGGGTTTGAGTTTTATTAGCTATAACTTAAGCGAACGTACATACACGCGACAAGTAGCTAGAAATATAGTGAGTCATGGATTAATTATGCTTCAGGCATATGCTAATCTAATTAAGTAGCAAAGGAACATTTCACGTTATGTTTGCAAACGTCACCCCCAATTTCTGAAAATTTGGAGATCACGTTATAATTGGAATCTTGTGACGTTGTGATACCGAGAGAGGCAGAAGTATGCGGCTTGGCGAAATATGTATACATAATATATGCAACCCGATTGAATTCTCCTGTGGAACGAAAGTACGAAAATACAGCGAGTACTGAGATGCGACATGAGAATGTTTACTCACCAATCTGTGCCAAAATGTCATTCTTCTTCTTCTTACTCTTGGTTTCTTTGACGGATGATTGGACAGGGAGCGCAGTTTCCTTTGCGACTTCCTTCGACTCTTTCACTGGAGTCTCTTTCTGCTGTTCCTTAACATCCTTTATAAGTTCCTTGCTGATCTGCTGAGGCGCGCTGGCACTAGTGACAACTTCCTTCTTCTCATCTTTGCTTTCGTCTCTTTTCTTGGACACCTCCTTCGAGTTTTTCTTTGACCTAGTTGGAGTCTCTTTCGGTGACTTATTCACAATCGGTTCGGACTGGCTCATTTGTTGAAGATTTTCTCTCTGTCAATAAACACGTTTAAGCTATAAATATATCTTCAGGAGTGTGTCCTCATTTGCGATGATACTCTTTAACAAGGAGTATTTTGAAAACAAAATCTTCAAATATTATAAACAGACTGTGCGTGCAAGGTGACCAGGAGTCACGTCTAGTTAATTGTGGGCAGACATTCTTCTGTGCCAAAGCAAAAATAAAGAAAATCGTTAAAACGTATTCTGTAAGGTACTTGTGAAAAACCAAAAAACAAATGCGTTCATGCAAATCCGCATCATGCTTCGTTCAAGGACAATGAATGTTAAGTACCCCTTTATGTTTATAAACCAAAGCTATTGTGTAAATGAAGGAACGATAGGGTTAAGCTCCTAGAAAAGAAAGATTCCATGTGGCTTGTGTATGAAACAAGAAGCGTACCATTGTAATATGCACAATAGAAGTATAAATTTCAAAAGAGACACGTACTCTAATGTCCAGGATATTAAAGTGATAGCTAACTCTACCAGAAGCAAGACACTCACACTGTGGCTCCGGATAAGTTCAAGGTCGTCCTTTGGCTGAATTAGGTCGAAATGATTGGCTTCCTCCAAAGGAGGCTGCGAAGGACTCAATTCGGGTGCAATGACCACTGGCTCATCCTTATTGATAAGGATTGGCTTTACCTTTTCAACCTTGTTCTTCTTCTTACTCCCTTTGCCACTCTCCTGTGTTTCCAATGAAAGCAAAAATGTTCCCCAAACATTCAGTATAATAATGCATAACGATGTGGAATATAACAATATACGAAGTATTATTCCTGCATCGCGTGTGAGAATGTGCATTAGACACTAGACAAAAAATATTTCTTAAAAATAAACAACATGAAAAGCAGTTAGTGTGTCTTATCATAATTGGTTAATCTTACTGCATACGTCAATTTATCATGTGATTGCTAATCCTTTTTTCGCCTCGGTATGTACTTTAGTTCGAATTTTTGACAGACTCTTATAACTGGCATTGACAAATTCAATGGATATTGTTAGGTTTTCAATATATTTTGATACCTCTGTGCCTTCGTCTTCCAGAATGAACAGAACATTAGTTGCCTGACTTTTCTTGGTCACGAAAGTTTGATGAATATGAGGCCATATTTTCGACAGTTTACGAAAACTGTTGAATGAAATATTGTATATTAAGTACGGAATTGAATAAATGCAAAATGCATTGAGCGAGTTTATGTTTAACGGCAACAGTTAACTATCCAGATAAGCTACAATTCAATTATCTGTTAAGATTCCGAGTCTTTTGTAAAATTATTTTTTTCAACAACTTTGTATCGTACCTACTTCTGTCAAAAGAGATTATTTCAAATAAATAAAATTACTTTCAACTATCAAATTGATGGAATAAGACTACTTTACCGTAATGATAAAATACAAACAGCCGGGAAATCAGGTCATTCCGAGGATACATGCTACAGCTATTTATAGAATATGATCTTTGATTGTGAAATACATTTATCAATGAGTTTTTTCATATTCAGTGAATACAATCTGTTTTCCGTTTACGTTAAGAACAAGAAAAATATTGGGGATGCGTCAGAGCCTTTTTTTAAACTTACCAGGTCATATTTTTTCTATAAAAAACATATATTATCAAAAATTATCATTTTGTTACTTCATAAAAAGGACGTCGGAACTATTTAATCGAATATTTGAACGAACATAATTGATATATGCGAAATTTTCTTGACCTATAGTACGAAATCGATACCGTGAGCTATGGTGACATTTGAAAAAGTTTCAAACAATTGATTGATGCCATGGAATATGAAAACATCGTAAGCTTAGCAAAAATATTGTTTAAAAATTTTTCATGACGTTAAAGAATGGCATTGCTAAAATTACGTTAATATTCTCAGAACAAATTGAAACAAGTTTAATATTTAAGAGATATTAATACGAAAATTAATATATCAATATAAGCAATATTTTTAGAAGTAAATATGATACTAGCAACTTTTTCAGCACTTGGAAAAACAATTCGACTTCTTTGTACGCACGTTTAGTATATATATATATACGCAATGAAAGAGATAAGTGATGAGACATCAAATATTGTAGACGACTAAACCGTATGGCTATATGTGGTTAATTGTGAAACCATATCAGAGTACCAGTTTTGGTTCTATAATTTCTTTATACATATGTATATTATCTCTTGCTTGAAAACATGTTACAATTCTTGCAAATCACAAACTAACTCAAATATTAAACCCTTGATCAATAGAATAGCAATTTATAATTTGCAATATAGTGACTAGCATATTATTAGGTTAATGGACTATGGCCTTATATACATCAGGCTTTTAATAAGCGAATTAAGATCAAGCCATCACACCTATTCATATAGAAATAAAGTGAGATAGTCCTTAGTATGCATCAGTGTAAACAAGGTCTACACCATTAATGTGTTAGAACATGGTCAATAAGGTCTATACACAACTCAAAATAAATAAGAAGTAAAACTAATAGCGAGACAGAGCTTAAAAATGTATGCATGTTTATTTTGTTTTCTCCTTTTTGTGGTAGAAATAAAACATAAGCTACTACCCATAGTTTCTCAATAATTATGAGTCATAAGGTATTATTTAGTTACTAATAATAATATTTGCACATATTAAGAATGGCCATCAGAAGTTTTAAGTAATATTTGTGGAGTAATGATGTCATCCTTCTAGGAACAGCACTTGTTTTTACCATTGAGACACTTCCTTCCATGAAGCAAAATTAATACTTTATCACACAATAGGAGAAAATATTTGAATTGTATAGGAAGAAAATTAGTTTACATTATGAGTCACATAGTTATACTTGATTTTGAAGACCTTGTAGATGACCCACATGTGTGATATTTGATATGAAACCAAAGTACCATATTTCATGCATGAAATGGATAAGAATAAGAGACCATGAATACTATACATGTTATTCAGGTTAAAATACCTGTACTAGTTTTTAAATTGTAAGACAAAAATTGTTATGCATAATTTCCCCAAGCCCCAAAAAGTAATAGAACTATATGCTAAAACTAATATTTTATAATTGATCTAAAATGATGCTGAATCAACATAAAATATATAAGTTGATCATTAGTTTGAGAATATTTTAAAATTTATGTTTAACATAACATAAAAAGGCACGTATCCTTGAATGCTATTATTTTTGATCAACTGTTCACACCTATGTCCCAAAAGGGACTTAATATCAGATAAAAATAATTAAAACTAAATATAAGTCTTTCATATATGCCTAAAACATTACAGTATCAAAACTTTTACAAACTAATATTTACAAAACTCTGAGCATATAAAATTTCTTACCTGAGTAGATGGCTCAGATGGCAAAATTTCAGGAGTTTCTTCAAACTGGACATGCTCAGACTTTTCTTCTTCTTTTTCATCCTTCTCTTCCTTCTTCTCCTTTACTTTCTTTCCAGCCTTGTTTTTATGTTTCTTTTCTTTCCCCTTATCCTTTTTACCTAAATATACCAAGCTTCATAAGAATCTTATAGATGTGCTTAATGTATAATTAGAAAGGCTAACCACAATAAACTAAAAGTTTAAATATACTTAATGGGATCACTGTCCGGATAATACAAGAACTTTAGATAAGAAGTTTAAATGTATGATATAAGAGAACAAGAGTAATAAACCCAAGGAATAGACATTTCTTCAAAAATTAGTATTTTATTAACTATTAATTGTCATGCTTAGTTTCTGCACCTAAGAAATACATAGGAAAATGATGCATATTTGAATCCGTATGACAACAAATGATAAATAATTTTGTTTATACAGCCCAAAGAATATGTAGGTACGTGATAATAAAGTATCATTATGATACAGCACAATAGTATATATATCATAACAAAATATTGGTCACTTCATTAAAGAATTTATATAAGTATTAAAAAAAGAGCAACATACATTTCAAAACAATGATAAAATTTCTTGTAGAAATTAAATTCACAGGGAGTGTCAAAAATAAAAATTTTGAAAAACATTTAAATAAGGCTGTATGAAAATTACCGACTGAAACGGTATCCGCTTCCAAAAACGAAATGAACCAAAAAAAACCGAAAGACGTCTCTTACCAAGCAGTAGATCGTCGGGAAGTTTGCGTTGTTCAGCTATGGCTTCTTCATAAGATTTTTCTTTAATGCCAAACATTGACACGAGAAGAATAACTGCAGCTGAGATCACAACCACTCCAACACAAACCAATCCTGTCTGAAGATCCATGTCGCTAATTCTTATCCTCTTCTCTGTACAAATTAAATGCTTCAATAATGATACACTTCGAAACTGCTCTTATGTATCTAGTCCTTTCTTAATCGTGTAATGTTCACTTCCTTTGATTCTCTCACGTATGGCTTAAAGTTTTACATCAGTAGCAATAAAAATACGTCATTTCTGCATAATCTACAAATTAATAGCTCTCTAACGAGTAATATCAAAGCAGCTACAAATTTTGTATATCGAAACACCGAAACTGCACTATTTACGGAAACAGAAATAATCACATAGTCAGCCAATGAACACTATTCGAACGCAACAAGAAACGTTAACAGATAATTGCCGATACAACTGGCTGACTGATTCTATGTGAAACCATTATTTATATCGCGAAATTCAACGTTTTTACCAGAACAGGTAATATGTTAATACGCCGAAGATTACAAAGTGTTAAATTCAAGAAAGAAATGACATATGGATGACAGAGCAAGACGTCAGCAAGCTCTTGCCGGCAGTATCCACTACAGTCCTAGCGATCAAGAATTTTCCACAGTACCGGCAAAAACGATCAGATCGTTAAATTTTCACTAGACTTTCCAATGATAGAAAACACTCACACTCTTCACAGCTTACAGAGGATTCTTTCGGTTAGACTTTCCGTGTGGGGAACGTGCGATAAGGAACGTACTTCGTTCCCGATGGAAGAACACGATCAGAAATTCACACGCGACGATCTCTTCTTAAGAATTATGGCGGCCGGACGTACGGAGCGAATGTACGAGTTCGAAGCCACGCCTATCGAACTCACGCATACTCCTATTGGTCAAGAAGCCTGCCACGTATGCAACACGTTTGCAAAATTCAAGATTATAATACGGTTCTGCTTTACTTTAATTGTCAGTACCAATTAACCTCGATTAATAATTGACAACCTACTTTATTTTATACGTACTGACATCGCGTACAACCCTTTTATAAGTCGGTAAAACGGTTAACGCTATTCGTATTGAGTAGTCTGCTATAGACACGATGACCAACTGCACAAAGAAACGAAGACAACTTTCTCTTGATAAAACCATATTTTTCCTTCTTTATATGTAATTTAAATATAAAGTATAAGATTAGAATCCTACAGTATCTTACCAAAAGGAATACTGCATAAATGCACGATACTTGAAGAGAACGGATAATGTTTAAATTGACAATAAAATTATAAGTAGCCTAGTGATAATAGGTAATTCCCCGAAATCAAATGTGAATGCTGCTTAGCGTGTGTTCTAAAACTTAATGTGAATGCCAGGAATTTATTATTTGGCTTACTCTCATTTTCTTCGTCCGTTTTCTCGGACGTTAGTCAAACACATATGAATATATAGGGAGATATTGATGAGTTGGCAGCACTCAAAATACTCGCAGTACAACTCGCAGCAAGGTTTTGGAACACACCAGAACACACCTTAAAAGTTCCATTAGAGAGAGAAAGATGGAAAATAGGACTGTTCTCGTTACTTACACGTTCTGCACTTTTAAAAAAAAATATTGGATATTTTTAAGTAACCAATGAAAAATCTAAACTTCTTGATAAGTGCAGAAAGTGTAGGTAATGAAAGAGCAGACTTAATGTATTTCCGGAGCAAATAGCATTCGATTCGCCACAGCGAGCTTAATCGTCAGTTCCTCCCTTAGGTGTATTCACATGTACCTGCTATCTTCTTTTGAAAAGGCAACTGTGAACGTTGTATTATACTTTTTACAGATGTTGCAAAAATTTATTATTTAATGAATTAAGTGTATATTAATAACAATTTCACAATTCATTTTATCTGAAACACTTATGGCTCCTGTTATTTATACTTAAGTACAATTGTCAAGTCTCGCAGTTTCTTAGCGAGACTATGGCCTGGAGGTTCTATATTTAAGCTGCCTTAATGTAATTAATGGTAATCCAAATGCTTTGTTTACCTGAAAAGATATGTAAAAAATCCTAGGGATTCAGTTCGTAAAAATATGAAGATAGTTTGTGCTTCGACTACGTGTAAATATGCTTCCGAGGAAGAGGATTCGACAAATGTCATTTTTATAAGTTTTCCAAATAATGATACGTGAGTATTTATTTCGCACCGAGGTTATTTATTTACCCGATAAATTATTTATAGCAGATTTAAATGTTTGTTTACTATCGTTAGGTATAATATAGTTATATTATATAGATAGAATAATTCTAGAGTTTGTAGATACTTCATTTATGTATATACATAATTTTTCTATAGGTCAAAACTATGGGCTCATAATTGTAATCGACTGGATTTGTTGAGCAAATCTAATGAGGAACTGCATAGTAATTACTATATATGCTCACATCACATAGAAGATCATTGTTTTATTAGCAAATGTAAACCAATCACGATTGCTCAAGGCACAGTTCCAACTGTGTTTCAAATGGAACCTGTAATAGTCCCATTAACACCTGTAACTTCTGAAAAGGCACCTGAATATGAAAATCAACATAGTAAGGACAACATACAATCATGTGACAGCTCTTTAAATTCAATGAATAATATTGAGGGAACAGATAATATGGCACTTAATACCAATTTTCATGCCAGAGTACTCAACCATGAATCTGTTGATGAAAAAAATAACACAGTAACTATCTTTAATAGATGTGTTTCATCAGAGACATCTGATAATGATGCTCTCAGATACTGTGATATAAATACTGAAATAGAGCAGTACAGCAGTGTGACAATAGGATTTTCTAGTTTGTGTCGAATATGTGGCGATGAAGCATCAGATGGGATAGAAATATATTCCGCAAAAGGCATTGAATTAAAGCTGCGCTATAAAATACAATTGCATTTGCCCATATCCATTGATGTTGAAGACATAATGCCACAAAGACTTTGTATCAATTGTTATAACAAATTGGAAGTTACACATTCATTGATCACAACGTGTTTACAAACTAACATGCGATTCAGACGGTTCTTAAATATTGAAGGGATGGTTAGTATGTTAATACTTATACTTAATGTATATTCATAGGGCACTATATTAAAAATATATGTGTTTATATCATTGTTGCAGGCAGAATACGATAAGAGATTCGATGCGTTGGTGGAAGAATGTTCACTAGAAGTGGCTGAGGAAATTTGTGACAGTGATACAATTCAAAGTAAAACAATATCTCTTGTATCAAAAAAAAATGAAGAATCAGAAGCAACTAACAAAGTGGAATGTAATCTAAACAAATGTTCAGCGACTGCAGATTTGGAACATACCCCAATTGCACAAATAACAGCTGGCGGGTTGAATGTTAATGATGTAAATAAGTTGAAATTTACAGTTGATTCAAATAGTGAAGTGCATTCCGATTTGAGCGATTTGTTTCACGTATTTAAAGGCATCAAAAACAAAGAAAATGAATGCGTAATCGAGACTGTTTCAGAGGCTCAAAAAATTGTCCACAATAAAGAAGAGAGTAATCTCATATGTTTATTATGTAAAGATACATTTAAAACGGTAGAGATATTTGAAAATCATAAAATTTTATGCGATGATGGAGATGCGCTAGATTTAAAACAGCAAAAGGAATCATCCAATTCTGATAATTTAGCAACACAACCGGCTAGTACAATAGATTTTCAATTCAGTATGAAATCATGCGATGTGTGTGGAAAAGTTTTTGAGACAGAGGCTCTTCTTCAAGATCATGAAATATCCTGTTGTCAGCCATTCATGCAATACAGCTGTCATATTTGTGACCAACAATTTGCAAACAAGGAGGAATTTGTTCTTCATGAACAATTGCACGTCCCTGTAAATAACGTAACCACTCCAGTAAGGAGATGTGGTTACTGTCAAGCTACGTTTCACACGCGAAAAGAATTGCAAAATCACATAATGAAGTATCATGGTGGTCAAACATTATTTAAATGCAATATTTGTGACAAAGCGTATGAGAAATGGTCCAGTTTAGACGTTCACGAAGCCACGCATAGATTAGATAAACCCTTCCTTTGTGATTTATGTGGAAAAAGTTTTAAGCACTCGAATAATTTGAGAGGGCACAAAAGAATTCACTTGGAGGAGTCTAAAAAGAAGCGTCATGTTTGTGAACTCTGCGGCAATGCATTTAGATCTAGGTAAGAATCAGGATACACGCTTGGCGCAATGAAAAATATTTTGATATACATAATTTCCCCAGATTTCATCTAAATGAGCATATGAATCAGCACAATGGTAATAAACCATATGGTTGCGAGCAATGCGGCAAGGCTTTCTACAAAAGAATACAATTGCGTCAACATAAATTGTCCCATGGATTAAATAAATTTGCTTGTCCAATTTGTGGCGTTACATTTAATCGCAGAGGGAACATGAATACGCATTTTAAGAGACACAGTACTCAAGATGGAGTATATACTTGTAGCGTATGTATTGCTCTTTAATTGTTATAGACAAAAATACATCAAGCAATCTTAGTAATATACCCTTTCTTACAGGTATGCGAACATAGATGTAAATCAATGAGTGATTTAAAAATTCACAGAAAGGAACATTCCGAAGAAGACATAATGGAAAGTGTAAAGAAGAAAGCCATCGACAAGACAGTATGGCAGTGCAGAATCTGTGCTAGAGTATTTCTGAAACGTACTATTTGGTTGAACCATGAAAGATCACACACAGGTGAGAAAGTTAGTGTCGAGTGTGACGAGTGTGGGAAAAAATTAGCAAGCAAAAGTTCATTAACGTATCACAAAAAATCTATACACTCCTCAGAACGACCACATATGTGTCAATTTTGTGGAGATTCCTTCGTCTCCAAAGAGGCGAGATTAATACACGAACGTATTCATACTGGCGAACGACCTTACGTATGTAAAATATGTAACATGCAGTACAGATGTTCAAGTAATCTTAGTCAACATATGAAGATACATTCAGAAGCTAGGCCCCACGTATGTCCATATTGTAATAAAGGCTTTACACGTAAAGGCGCACTTAATGTTCACGAGCGTATTCATACTGGCGTTAAACCATTCGCGTGTGTCGTCTGTGGTCGAAATTTCTCGCAGAAAAATGATATGCTCAAGCATACGAAAACTCATCGTGTTAAATCAATTCGCTGCGAACAGTGTGACGAGGTGTTTGCGACCAAGAGGGAAATTCTTAAACACATTGCGGTGCATGAACAAAATGTAGAGAGTTCTGTTATACAGCGATATGTGGACATGCCGCAACATGTAGAATCGTACTCAATAAATATACCTTATTCTAATATCGAGGAATCCGATGAGTTGGTGATTGCACAGAATAATTAGTTTACTCCCAATAAAACAATAATACGTACTTCGAGACCATGAATATCATTTATATTTTACGTACTTTTCACGAGAATTTAGTTTACATAATGTTTTTCCCTATTTATAGAATCCCTTAGAATTACACCAATATACATATGATATATTTAGTATATAAATAGTATATCTTGATGTTATGGATGGATAAAGGCGTAATTAATGACGTAATAGTTCCAATGAATTTAATGATACATATACAAGTATGTGATATGTAACTGAGAGTATTATTATAATGTATTGTTAATCAGGATCAATTTACATGGCTATGTGTAGCATTGTACAAATTTTTGTAACTATCAAAATACATATAATATATGTACCTGTAAAAAGATATTTGAATTTAATAGGTTGAAAACATTCCTTACTCCTTTTTTACATAAATACGGTTATTCAGTGAATTTAAGTTACCTTATCCATTTTATTTCTATCGGTAAAGCCACCTTCAGACGGTGCAATACTTCTGAATAAACCAGTATATTTACATATTGAATTTTCGATTTTTAAGCGTTGACCCACGTTTTATGGTAGATATCCAAGGAACTTTTTTATGTTGTTAATCATTTTAAGATGGCCCGTCTACAGTACACTGTACTCGCTGATAGTTAAAAATATAATGAATATGACAATCACATTTTTTCATGAATATAAATTATGCTCATGAAACGATTCATTGCTGTTCCTCCGAAATGCACATTGCTGACTAATGCGCAAACTTTTAAATATTTATTGTCCGTTTTATATTACAACGAGTATATATAAGTACGAGGATCACATATTGAATTCAGTATGTTTGATATTTTACACGTGAAAATAAGATCTGAGAACGCTTCTCTCAATAATTGAATAAACAATGTGTACATCCGTAAAGAACTTGAGTGACATACCAAACGAAGAATCACAATTATCTCTGATCGATGAATTGTACAAGAAAATAGAAAATCCGGATGATAGTGACATTTACATAGACGAGAGTAAGAGCGAAATTCGACAATTTTTGACGGGTCAAGTTATATTTATCACAGGTGGTACAGGTTATGTAGGGAAATCCACGATCGAAAAACTGTTAAGAAGTTGCTCGGATATCAAAAGAATTTATATTCTTGTAAGACCAAAAAAGCAATGGTCCTCCGAGGAAAGGATAAAACGATATTTTAACAATGAGGTGAGTCGTGGAATATTAAAATGATCAAAAAAGTCATTTTTAACCAAATTGTGAACCCCTTAATGCCCATTAGCTATTTGACAAAATGAAAAAAATGAATCCTCAATGGGAGAGGAAAGTTGTTGTTATTCCTGGTGATTGCGCTCTGGAGGGTCTTGGTATTTCACAAGAAAACCGTAACACTGTTATCAGTGAGATAAACGTTATCATCCACTCGGCAGCTAATGTCAAATTAGGCGAAAGACTCAGCCGCATGCTTCAAATTAATGTCATTGGTACCAAAGAGATTTTAACCCTGGCTAGCGAATGCAAGAATCTCAAAGCTTGTCTATACATATCAACCACATATTCACATTGTTATCTGCACGAAATCGAGGAGAAATTTTATCCTTCGACTATCGATATGGAAATGGTGTACGATGTTATTCGAGCTGACTCAAGATCGACAATGAGCGAGGAAGCTGAAAAGAGTATAATAGGAAAATGGCCGAACTCGTATACATTCTCCAAGGCCCTTGCAGAAAATTTAGTCAAAGAATACGGAAAAACTCTACCTGTAGGAATTTTCAGACCATCCATGGGCAAGTTCAAATAAGAGTAAAATTCATTATTCTTCATATACGTATACTTAAACTAAAACTATTATTACGTATTTTCTATTATAATAGTACTTTTGACATACGAAGAACCTTTGACAAGTTGGACCGATAGTTTTACCGGCTTACTAGTTTACGGTGCTGCCGCGTCACTTGGTTTTGTGCACTTGACAGAAACAAACATGGATATGATTACCGATGTTGTTCCTGTCGATATGTGTGCAAATGCAATATTAGCGTGTACATGGGATATTGCATTGAAGTACGTATATAAAAATTTGAATAAAACTCGATAAGGTGATGTAAAAATTTTCTTTCTCTTTTTCAGTCCCAGATCCAAGGACGAAGATCCTCCTGTTTATAATTTTGCTACCAGTACAGAAAACCCTATAAGTTATAGAGAAATGGACCGTTTGGTATTGGCTTACGCGAAAACTTTTCCATCTGCAAGATCAATATCGTATTTTTGGGTAGTGCATATAAATAATTATATTCTTCTTTGTATTTTCGATTTTTTCATTCATTTCATCCCATGCCTTTTATTCGACGCTTATCGCCTTTTGACTCTGCAAAAAGTAATGTAAGTATAATCGGTACTGTGCGCCATTCAATTTGCAAATTATAATGAAAATTCCTAATTAATCGTAAAAATGAATATTCTCGTATTTTCAGGGCGTTGCCGGTCTATTTCAAGGCGCACAAGTTCAGGAGCGTTTTCAGATACTTTATCAAGAGCGAGTGGAAGTTTCATGCTACGCGAAGTCGTCAACTATGGGACAAATTGAATGACACTGATAAGAAATTATTTTTCTGTGATTTACGTAAGATCTCATGGGAGATATATCTAATGAATTTTTGGCGCGGAATCAGAGTATACGTATTGAAAGATCCTATGAGTACGGTTGTGGAAGCAAGAAAAAAATATTTAAAATTAACAATCATACACTTTACCGTGATAACAGTGCTCGGCTTGTTATTTATGTATTTTCTATATAGAATAATATTTTTTTATTGAAATTCTATATCATCACTAAATAATTTTCCTCGTGTTAATAACGATGACGATACTATTTTTATTGAATCCAATTTCGCATGTAACTGCTTTACACTCTGACCCCTCACCAGGATATTAAACACATTGATTGTTGAAATAAAGAATACCAATTTTTGTAGTTTATTATACTTTATTGCGCTGACACTACTAACTTTTAATATAGCAGTAACCGCACGAAGTCGTCAACACGTAAAAGATGCTACACTCCTCGAGGCATCTAGTCCTCTTTCTAACGATAGATCGTTAATGGCCGAATGTCTCGAACTCGATTTTGGTGATTTTTAATATAAATCATTTATAAGCAAAAATAAATAATACATTTTAGACAAACCAGCAATACCACAGTTCTTTCCGTTAATGATATAAATAAATATACTATTCATTAAATACACGCGAGCACGTAAGCAAAATGACATTTCGAATTGTTCGCTACAGTTTTTGGCCATGAATTCACATTCGACCGTAACTGTTTGACCTGTGCCATTTCCGCTACTGTATTGTCGCTTATTTTTAATAATCACTATACGTATGCTTTCATCTTTAATTCTTATCTGACTGTAATATCTTTTACTGTTATGATTATGACGATCTAACTACTTGAAGCATGCTCTAGAAATTTTAGACTGTTTCTTGGTACGAATTCATACTGACATTTATACATTCACTCTATATCTATATAGGATCATTGCAGACTGAACTGAGGTTTAATACTAATATTCGAATAAAATAATATTCTTGATTAAAGTCAGTATTAGTATCTCGTGAGGTATTCCGGGTTTCTTTTTTACATATGTAAAATTCAAGGCAAAACACTTGTGAGCAGAGCGAAGGGCAATGTATTTACTTGAAATTATTCTGTACATCGTTTACGCTTAACTTATTTTGCAAAATCACGTTCTCACGGTCGCGAATAAAAGTTCAAGTATTTCATTTGCACGCTTATGAGCATCCGAATACGTATACACGATGTGTATAAAATTGTTATTTTTGTTAGGAATATCGTTGAGTTTATAAAGGAAAAAAATATGTGAATATTTTAATCATTTTAAAAATGAATGTTAAAAAAAGTTTCACCGTGTTTTAGTAAAAGCAGTGTAGTCCTATATTTAAAATAATTTACTAGAACAGCCATATCGAACATGCACAGTTGAAAAACGTGAAGATTATAAAAATAAAAAAATAATAAAAATCGACACATGACTAATCCTTCGATCGACGGTATACCACCATTTACGCTTAGTGCCATTACGTACAAAGGTGTGTCAGCAATTTTGGATTTCAGACTTGTACGTTCCATAGTCCATCGTAATTAAAATGCATATGGAAAACTTCATGTGATTTGCATTTACAATAACAACGTTCAATTCTTGCAATTGTCTTGATCATCAATCTGCCACGTGTACATAAAATTGATATACAATATTCAAGAAGTTTTATTCACCCATATTAATTACATATCTATATACATCAAAAGTAAATGCAAAGATCAGTTTGCTTTAGGCAGAGTTACTTAAAGCACGATAACACCCTTCAGCACTTTTACGATATTCACGTTGAACGAGGATGGATGAAGTTTATAAATTGTTAAAAGACGATACTGAGATCGTCGAAAAACTTGATCAAGGCAGTGTTATTCGAAATTTCTATACGGATCAAATAATATTTATAACCGATCCCACGAGTCTCCTTGGAGAGATCATAGTTGAAAAACTTTTGAGATGTTGTTCGCAATTGAAAAAACTTTACATTTTATTCAAAGATACTGGTGGCATGACTGTTCAAGATGAGATGAAAAAATATTTCGAAAGTTCCGTGAGTATCGATATTACTTAAAATTCGATTATATTTATATTAATATAGTATTGCAACAATAAAAAAATTAAACTTCAGGCATTCGACACACTGAGAAATAAGATACCTGATTTTTACGATAAGATTGTCCCGATTAAAGGAAATTTACTCGCAGAAGACATTGCATTGTCAGGCAATGATAAGAACGATATAATTGATAACGTGAATTTCATAATTCACAATGCATCAGCAAATCAATTTGGCGATACAGTAAAGTCAATATTGCAACTGAATGTCCTGGGAACGAAGAGAATTTTGGACATTGCCAAAGATTGTGAAAATCTTAAAACGTTTGTTTACGTATCAAGCGTATATGCACATTGCAATGAAATCGACATTAAAGAAAAGCTCTACCCGTGCTCCGCAGACCTCAAAATTATTCATGACATGATAGCAGCTGATACGGAAAACAAGAATGGTTTGAGTAAGGCAGCATTAGAAATGATACTTGGTGATTACCCTGACGCATACACATTCTCAAAGGCCATAGCGGAGTTCATTATCGACGAATGTAGTAAAAAGTCAAATTTTCGCAGTGTTATTTTCCGACCATCCTTAGGTACGTTAACGAATGATATAGTAAATATATAAAAAAAACATGCACAAGGATAATATTTATATATATTATATATACCGTATATATTTTATTGTATCAGAACTGCCATCGTACAAAGAACCCATTGCTGGTTGGTGCCATAAAGACAAAGGTCCTATATCTGGATTCATTGGTATTACATTGGGAGCTATACATACCATATGGGCCCAGGATAAAGCAATTGATTTCATTCCTAGTGACATGTGTGGAAATGCACTTCTTGCTAGCATTTGGGATGCATCATTTACTGGGTATTTAGAAACGTAAAAAATATTATATTGGAAATCCATATTTTGTACCTTAATTCTATTTGATTTATTACATACGGCATTAGGGAAAAACACGAGGAAGCCATTGTCTACAATTATGGAAGTAGCATGGTGAAACCTGTGACCTTGAGAAAAATTACGAATTTACTTGAAAATGCTGCAAGCGACAGACCTTCGATGAAAATGATATGTGCCAATTACACTGTCATAACGAAATGTTATTGGTTATGGTTCCTTCTGAATGTAATGATTCACGTAGTACCCGCTGCAATTGTCGACGGCTTTTCTCTACTGCGCAGCAAGGAGCCTACGTAAGTCAACGATAATACTTGCTAGTACATTTTCACACGTTATTCAGTTTATTCGAAAAGTTTTAATCATATGCTCTACCCGATTCTCAGTGCTCTGACATCATACTGCGAAGCTACGAGGAACTTGGAGTCGGTGCAATATTTTTTAAACGGCGAATGGCGCGTTCACGTTGAAAAGATGCAACAGCTCTGTGACAGAATGAGCGAGACTGACAGTACTTTGTTCTACTGCGATATTCGGAAATTCAGATGGGAGGATTACGCTGATCCATTTTGGAATGGACTGCGTGTTTATGCTATTGATGATCCTATGGATTCTTTGATCGAGGCAAAACAGCAGTTTTACAAACTTAGGATTCGTCACTATATTTCTTTATCAGCTGTTTTAATCTTCATTTCGTACATTATTATACAATTTATATAAACTTACGATACCTATTATCATGTTTATGTTCCCAATAAGGATGATTGTCGATTGTTCGAATTTGTTTACATTTGATAAAATCATTATATCACGAGATACGAGAGAGGTTATGATTAAATGTTCTAATAATAATAAAATTACTACATTTTAGTAAGTAGTGTCTGGAACATTACGAGGAATCACCTCGCCCATTTCATTCTATAAAATTGTGTATATCCTTCGTCATAGAATGAACATGCATCATGCGATCTATTTACAAAATAATTATTGTATTAAATTTATTATGAATTCTAGTAATATGGAACGTGGATTAAGTATGAACGAGAAGCCAGCAAATATATATAAGAATCATGCAGATGCGTTTACGTTAAGCTGATCTTGATGTATAACGTAATTAAGAAATTAACGGAAAACAATTTATTCATCCAAGAAACATTATTATGTTCTCAATAACGAAAAAAAATTGTATAACAAATAGCCGCAGTTATACTTTTCTCTTCAAATTACAAAAAATTTTAGTATCCATATGATCGAAAGGCACTTTTGGATGAAAAAAAAAAAAAATAGAAAATCAAAAGGGCATAAGTAAATGTGTCACGTGCATTTATAAGTATCTACGTTGATATACTTACGTCACGTGACAAATCATGTATACGAGGGAATGGAATTTAAATGAGCAGATTTGGAAGTGTAATTAAGAGTGACCTATGATGACGCACCATAAATTTGGTTGCGATTGTAAAATTACCAATATACAAACATTACATAAACTTTCATTGCGAGTATAACATGCTAAGAAATTTTACGTGAACTATCAGTATACACAGGTGGTTTTTGGAAAATATGAATACGCGAACAACATGCGGACTGTAATGCTCTCAGAGGCAAGCCTTAACAGTATTTAAGAAAAATTCGAAAAACAAATTGTAGAAGCGTCTGTAAATTTCTTTTGAAAACTGCATTACTTTTACAAAATAATTGTTTCTTTAGTTCCCATATGTGTTTTCACATCGTTAAAGTGGTCCTCCTAGCATCGTAATACGAGTATTCCAATTTCTGTCAATTTCATGCTAATCGTTCCTTACAAAAATATTTCCTACGTAAGATATTGACTTTGGTACAAACTGAACGATAGGAATTCATCACTTTTAAAATTTTCACATCAAACATTGTTTAAATAATACAGTAAAAAATGCTTACAAATTTTTAATACTTTCAATTGAAAAATCGTAGTAGTAATGTTCGATGTAAAGGAATGTCCCATAGAAATTTCATCTACTTTTACTGCCTAAAGGATGAGACATTTAAGAAAAACTATTAACGAAAGAAGTATATCTATACAGTGCATTTTTGGCTATTTTCACTCCGTATATCTCGTAAGCTAGACGGTAAATAATTTTGAAATTTTGCATTCACGACCGTTAAGCACCTGTCAAGAACATATACAAAATTCAAATCCGTATCTTGGAAATGCTCGAGTGACTGAACCTTGACATACCAGCCTAATAATTGGTGATGTTCTTCTTCGCCGTAAGTTATAATCTTCAATGGATACTAACGTAACGGAATATTATTGCATATACTCCATGTTAATACTGGATCGTTCACGCGAATCTTACAACGTTAATTTATTTAATGAGAATCATATAGAGGTATACTTGCACGTATGATTTTGAAAAATAATTGACAGTTCTTATGGGATGGGAATAGAGCCCCTTCTATTTTTATCTGGACTATAAATCTGCCACGCATCATAATAATTATGTCTTTGACGTACGCCATTGGTGACAAACTAATGATCTAACAAATATACATATATAAATTGAATATAGATTAGAAAAAAGTAAATATTTACTTTTTGTGTAAATACTCGAAAAACCAATAAAATAAATGTTATAAAACATAAATTCTGTACTTCAATACCTCTATGTAATGAATGACCTATTTGAGGAAGTGAGTTCAAAAATCTTTTAGCTACGAAATTAAGTTTGTTTGCGATACCAATTACAGGATATAGAATGGTACTGTTTATTCCAAGAATGTTCAGAAGGATTGGTCGATCCGATGTAACAGGTTGGTTGTAAGAACTGAACTGGAATACTGGAACATGTAATAGAATGCTAAAGAAATGGGTTGAAATTTTATGGAAAAAAAATAGAAATAAAAGTATTATGAACTAGAATAATATACAGCTATAAGCTGATATGCCCACGTCATACTACGTATGACAAAAATATAATATCAGGAAATACTATTTAAATGAAGATTTTTAAAAGTGTAATCAGTAATGACCTATGACGTCGGTGAATGCATCATATACGAAATTAATAGACTCGTATTCCATTCAAGGTCCGATACGGGTAGTAAAGAAGAGTGTCATGCATACAATGTATGTATTAGTTTGGAAGAGAACTACTATAAGTAGACCGAAACCGATGTAAAATTTCTTATTTAGTCAGCAACCCGGAGTGATAAAGACTTTTAGAAAAATTCGATAGTTTCTAATATATTACCTGACATATTTACATTAAATATATAAAATGGATGAAGTGTACAAGAGAATTAACGATGATACCGAAATGCTCGACACGTGTACCGACGCAAGTGAAATTGAACAATTTTACGCAGGTCAATGTGTATTTCTAACCGGAAGTACGGGATTCATTGGGAAATCTGTTGTTGAGAAATTGTTACGGACATGTGCGAATTTGAAAAAGCTCTATATTCTAGTCAGAGCCAAGAAAGGATCAAGTCCTACAGAAAGGCTTAAGAAATATTTGAAAGACGACGTAAGTACATTATCCCAGGCAGCAGCAGAAATCCTACAGTCAGTGGAATATAAATGAGAGTAGTGAAGATGTCCAAGAGACAAGCTTATATCGTATTAGACATTTTTAAGATGACATTTGGAGTTAACGTGTCATCTAGGCATAATACGTACGTTGGTTGAGGTACGTAGGTTTATGACTTGAAAACATTCTGTTGCATTCTGTTTGTATTAAGTAATTTATAGCTATGATCGCAGTACCTCAGCCAATATATTACGTGCTTCTAATAAAGACTAATAAAATTTCAGTTTTTCAACGAGCTTCGAAAGACGGTACCGGATTTCGAGAAAAAGATCGTCCTTATAGAGGGTGACCTGAGCGAAAATGGAATAGGATTATCAATTATCGATCGTCATAGTCTAATTGAAGAAGTGAACATCGTGGTGCACAATGCAGCTAACGTCAAATTCGATATCAAAGTTGAGCTTGCATTACGTATAAACGTTTTGGGAACACAAAGTGTATTAGACTTGGTATCGCAATGTAAAAACATAAAAGCCTTCGTATACGTATCAACCGCGTACTCGAATTGTATATATACAGACATCGAAGAGAAATTCTATCCATCGCCTGCCGATTTGAAAATGGTCAATGATATGATAAAAGCTGATTTGGAAACTCCAAATGGCATAAATAAAGCGGCTTTAAAGATGCTTCTTGGCGATATACCGAATATTTATGTTTTTAGTAAAGCTACTGCGGAAAACTTTGTTAAGGACTACAGCAAGAAAGTAAACTTTCCTTGTGCAGTTTTTCGGCCATCTATCGGTAAGTCATGAAGTTATTATTCAGATTTTACTTAATATTGAACCTATTGTTAAATAACTAAATGGAGCATTCTTATTCAGTGGCATCAACCTACAAAGAACCTGTGGCTGGTTGGTGTGGCAATTTGAATGGGCCTGCTGCTGGAATTATTGGTTACGCGTTGGGTATCATACATACAGTTTTCATGACTGATTCTCCAATAGATTTGGTTCCAGTGGACATGTGTGCTAATGCACTTATTGCAATTCCTTGGTATATTGTAGATAACAAGTAGGTACAAAATGAACAAGATATAATAATCTTGAGAAGATACAAAATTATGAAAACAATATTATTTTTGTGAATTAGAAAGGAAGAAAAAACTGCCAGTGTATTCAACTACGGTACCAGTGTGACCAATCCAATAAATGTAAAAGCCTGCATAAATTGGGGATACACGCATGGATCCGAAAATCCGTCAATCAAAATGGTTTGGGATTGTTTTATAATTACAACTAGTAACTACTGGTTATGGCTATTTCTTGAAATTTTTCTTCATTTCATCCCAGCCATTATAGCTGATGTTGTCTTGTTAACTCGAGGCAAGAAACCAATGTATGTTGATCGATTCTTTATCATGAGACTCGGTAGAGTCTTGTGCCAAACATTTAACGACGATTGTGAAAACGGTCGTGATAGATCATAATGAAAAAATTTCTTTTATAGGGCAGTTAATGGATATTTTAAAATTGTGAGGTACTTCGGCATAGTGAGGTACTTTCTGAACGGAATCTGGCGAATCCACGTCACAGAGATGCAGAAACTGTGGGACCGCTTGAAACCTCATGACAAAAAAAAATTCCACTGCGACTTGCGCGAGATAGATTGGATGTATTTCAGTAGCTTATACTGGAACGGATTACGAGTATACATCTTAAAAGAACCCATGGATACTGTACCAATCGCCAGGAAACGATTTGCACGACTTAGACTTTATAATAAAATATTATTTATTTTTCTATCATTGTTACTCATATATACTTTGAACAGATTCATAAGATATATTTGTATATAAATCTCTACGTAGAAATTTAAATTGTCTAATAAACGTATTTTGATAAGCTGAGGTGGTTCACAAATTATGAAATTCGAACTTATTACAATTATTGGTTATATAATAAAATGAAGATCAATCTGATTTCAGTCTACGAATAAAGTGCCAAATCCAGGGGACTCTTTTACCCTGAAATGTATACGGAGTTGGCCTCATTGAAAAGCATATCATATGTTGATCGATTATACCAAATATTAGACATGAAATATACGATATTATGTAAATTTCAATTTAAAATAATGATTTTGCATCAGGATGTTTTAATAAATTTCAATTTTTACATAAATATTTATACTTAAATTAATAAATTATCAATACAGTCTTAAGACGCATATCGTATAAATATAGTCGATCCATGAATTCAATATGTTTTTTTCGACAATTTACAAGCAATACGATAATTCGCAAATCACACGTGGTATTTTCACAAAACAACGTAATTAAATGATCAAATAGAAAAATTAAATATATTTAGTGCAAAATTATGAGTGTGCATATTTATTAAAAATTATTAACAGGTGAAATGGACTTGAATAAAGTGAATTCTTACAGTAATGGAGGATTTGTGTATTGTTAAGTATTTTCATTAAACTTTTATCTCGACGCGGTCATAATGTAAAATACGGTTGTCGAGTGATCGTGACGTGCCCTAAGAGGAAACTCCGTGCATCTTAAAACTTTTCTATTCTCTATTTAAGGTTCGCGCAGTTCCTCGAACGAACCAATGGCATTCCCGATGACGACGCCGTAACGTCAGAGACGCGCATGCGCAATCATTATTTCATACGAAGGATTGAATTTGAGATAGAAAAAAAGGAAATAAGAATTCTCTCGCAGTATTTTGAAAGAAAATGGCACTAATTTAGATGAAGTAGAATACTTTTAAAAAATCTACACCATGATGCTGTATACGTAATAAGAAAGAATCTCTTGTTTTTCGGATTGTGAATAGCAGAAACAATGATATAACAATTGGACACGCTGCGTTCGCCAAAAAACTGAGTGAACCCTTATAGCCGCCTTTTATTATTTACCAAAGAATATATATATATATATATATATATATATATATATATATATATATTGTGACGTTATTTTATAATCGGATGCAAAATGGCCGAATGGCAGGGGTTGGAGTGAAAAAGTGCATTTTGGAACTTTTTGAAAAATTCGAGATCTAGTAGTTCCGGAAGGAAATTTATATTTCTAATCAGGGCACGAGAGAGAGCATCCTTCGGCATTAAAAAAACACCCCCATTGAACCCCTGTATGATCACTCTAGGGGGAGTTACACCCCCTTGAAGTGAAAATACTTAAATGGCCATAACTTCCGAACGCGCCGGCCAATCTGGTCCAGTTTCTGCATGATATCATCTTTAATGATACTGCAGATTCTCACAAAATTATTGTTCTCGGCGATGATCCCGTGACGGAAGTCTCGAGATTTCGCAAGTGCACCCGAAGCTTCCCCGCCACTTTTCATTAGGAAAGCGATGAAATAGAAGTTTCATTTTAATCCACGTTGTAGCTGAGATTTCAACGATTAAAACGCGCTTTTAAACATCCAAATACGAGTACGCTAAGGGGTTAAATTGTCCGTTTAAAAAAACGCCTAAATTTTGCGAGTTCCGCTCGAGGCGCTCAAGGGACAAATGTTTGGCGCGCGTGGTAGGGTAGTAGTCCCTCGAACGGGAAGGAAATTTCCTAAAAAATATATCTTTGGTTTTTTTAAATCGGTCATAGTTTCTTAGAGATACACAAAAATTCAAGTGTCCCACTTCAATTGCGCACTACTGTATATTGTAACGTATTTTCTTATCTTGACATCAAGAACGAAAAATCCGAAAATTAACTATCTTCGAGAACCAACTTACGTTACCTTCGACGTCCACCCTTAGCCAAGTTTTTGCGTATTGCTAGGCATTTAAGAGCTGTTCATGCCCTTTTAATTGGGGTGTCGCAGATGCCTCATGCAACTGGTTAGGAAAAAAAACCGCGCGCCTGTTTTTGGGTCTAACCCTAAATTTATTAGAGTAAATTTAACTAAACTTCTCACAAAACCCTGATCTGCAATGTAAACACAAAATACATATCGGCAATCTCAAAATTAACTGCTCGAGGATGTATTAGCTGCACAACACCTCATGTAAGAATTATGTTGATTAATAATGAGTAAATGGTAACGTCATTCATATACCCCAACGACATTAAATATTGTGCGTAAGTAAAACGTGGAAAAGCATAGATATGAATTAATCATTCATTGCATTGTACATACGTATGTAAGTAACACTTTACGACATTATATAGTGCAGTCACAAGCAGCCTCAGCTAGTTGTCCCTAGGACGCAGTGCGTCCTGGCTAGTAAATTGGCTGAAAAGTAGTTATTCGTATCTTCATTAAAAAATAAAAACAGTTTGAGATCGCAACGATATATCGCACCACGCATGCCTCGTACAAAAGAAATTAAATTGTGTTAACGTGAAAAAACTTGATATATAAAGAATTATTATTTAATCGATTACAGTGAAAATTGGTATAATCACAATGAATTCAAAAACTAAAAAACTGAAAAATAATGATAAAAACAGCGACGTAAGTACCGATGAAAGTAATATACAAAAGTTTTTCGCCGGAAAAACAGTATTTCTCACGGGTTCCACAGGATTTCTGGGACAATGTATTGTCGAGAAATTATTACGAGGTTGTCCAGATTTGAATAAACTTTATATGTTGGTAAGACCTAAAAGAGGAATGTCTGTATCGGAAAGGTTGAAGAAATTTTTCAACCTCGAGGTAAATATCAAAAATAAAATTATATAAACTATTGACATACTTAGATCAGTATCAGATTTAAGAGTAAAAATCAAAATTACAGATATTTGATTTGCTTCGAGAGAATTAAATTAACTGCTCGAGGATGTATTAGCTGCACAACAGCTCATGTAAGAATTATGTTGATTAATAGGAAATTGTGACGTTGCCGATATGTAACTGTTACCTTGTGTTTGTAAATGGTAACGTCATTCATATACCCCAACGACATTAAATATTGTGCGTAAGTAAAACGTGGAAAAGCATAGATATGAATTAATCATTCATTGCATTGTACATACATTGTACATGTATGTAAGTAACAGTTTGCGACATTATATAGTGCAGTCAGAAGCAGCCTCAGCTAGTTGTCCCTAGGACGCAGTGCGTCCAGGCTAGTGAATTGGCTGAAAAGTAGTTATTCGTATCTTCATTAAAAAATAAAAACAGTTTGAGATCGCAACGATATATCGCACCACGCATGCCTCGTACAAAAGAAATTAAATTGTGTTAACGTGAAAAAACTTGATATATAAAGAATTATTATTTAATCGATTACAGTGAAAATTGGTATAATCACAATGAATTCAAAAACTAAAAAACTGAAAAATAATGATAAAAACAGCGACGTAAGTACCGATGAAAGTAATATACAAAAGTTTTTCGCCGGAAAAACAGTATTTCTCACGGGTTCCACAGGATTTCTCGGACAATGTATTGTCGAGAAATTATTACGAGGTTGTCCAGATTTGAATAAACTTTATATGTTGGTAAGACCTAAAAGAGGAATGTCTGTATCGGAAAGGTTGAAGAAATATTTCAACCTCGAGGTAAATATCAAAAATAAAATTATATAAACTATTGACATACTTAGATCAGTATCACATTTAAGAGTAAAAATCAAAATTACAGATATTTGATTTGCTTCGAGAGA